CCCTTTTCTCCACACCCTCGCCAACACTTGTTGTTTGATGATTTGTTGATGGCGGCCATTCTGACAGGTGTGAGGTGATACCTCATAGTCATTTTAATTTGCATCTCTCTGATGTTGAGCATTTTTTCATATGTTTCTTGGCCATTTGTATGTCCTGTTTGGAGAGGTGTCTATTTAGGTCCTCTGCCCATATTTTAATTGGGTTCTTTGTCTTCCTTTTGTTGAGTTGTATGAGTACTCTATATATTTTGGAAATTAACTCCTGATATGATGTATTGTTGGCAATGATGCTCTCCCATATAGTGGGTTCCTTTCCATTTTGATGGTTGTTTCTTATGATGTGCAGAAGCTTTTTAGTTTGATGTAGTCCCATGTGTTCATTCTTTCCTGTTTTTCTCTTGCCTTAGGCATTGTATCCGTGAAAATTCTGCTACATGTGATGTCTGAAATTTTGTTGCCTACATTTTCTTCTAGGAATTTTATGGATTCATGAGTGACATTTAAGTCTTTTATCCATTTTGAGTTTATTCTTTTTTTTTTTTTTTCTGTACGTACCCCTAGCAGGAACCGAGGTCTGTTATCCTCTGAGATGACATGGAGGCAGCCTGCGGACCAGAGAGACCCAGGTTCGGTTCCCGCTAAGGGCATGTACCTCGGTTTCAGTTTGTCCCCAGCCCTGGTTGCGTCGTGCAGGTGGCAGCTACTCGATGTGTCCCTTTCACATCGATGTTTCTCTCTGTCTCTTTCTCTCTTTCCCTCCCACTCTATCTGAACAAAAAACGAAAAAATGTCCTTGGGTGAGGACATGGAGGGACCTGGAGAGTATTATGCTGAGCGAAATAAGCCAATCAGAGAAATACAAATACCCCATGATCTCACTTATTTGTGGAATATAAGGAACAAAATAAGCTGATGAACAAAATTGACCAAGAGACATAGAAAGGAATACGGTTCAGACTAACAAACCTCAGAGGAGGGAAGCAGGGGGGAGGGATGAGATAAACCAGAGAACATATATACGTGTATGTGTAACCAATGGACACAGACAACAATGCTGGGGCAGGGAGTGGGGGTTGGGATCGAGAGGAGGGTGTCAATGGGGGAAAAAGGAGAAACATCTGTAACTAAAATAAATTTTTGGCAATTATGATGTGTCTTGGTGTGAGCCTCTTTGGGTTCTTCTTACTTGGACTCTCGGTGCATCTTTTACTTGTATGCCTTTTTCTTTCATCAAATTAGGGGAGTTTTCTGTCACTATTTTTTCAGATATATTCTCTAAACCTTGCTCATTTTCTTATTCTTCTGGGACTCCTATGATGTGGATATTGTTACATTTTATATTGTCCCACAGTTCTCTTAAGCTGTCTCCCTTTTTTTCATTGTTTTTTCTTTTTAGTTCTCTGATTGGGTAAGTTTTTCTACCTTGTCTTGTAATTCATTGATCCGGTCCTCAGCTTCCTCTACTCTGCTGTGTTCTTTATCTCTGCTATGTCATTCTTCATTTCTGCTTGGTGGTTTTTCATTTCCAATTGGTTGATTTTTAATGTTTCTATATCTTCACTCATGCTGTTGAGCTCTTTACTCATGCTGTTGAGCTTCCTCATTATCATCACTCTGAACTCTATTTCTGAGGACTCACTTAAATGTATTTCATTTATTTCTTCTTCGGTAGAGTTGTCTTGTTCTTTCATTTGGGATTTGTTTCTTTGTTTCACCATTTTGGCTATCTCAGTGGGTTTTGGAGCTTGGCAAATTTTTCCTGTGGGTATTGGTGTTCCACTGATTATGGCTCCCTCTACTGGGTTTGGATGAGTGTGGGATGACCCACCTTAAATACCAATGTCAAGTCTTACTTTCCTGGGTAGATTTGCAAGTCCAGGAAAGGTTCAGTTATCCTCTAGCTTTTTGCCTGGAGGCTATCAGTCTCAGTTGATGAACCTTGGGTTGTACCCTCAACTGAATAAAAAAAAAAATCCCTCAGGTATTTAGGGTAAGAGTATTTCCAGTGGATGGGGCAGTTGCTTGCTGACTATTAATGAGCCTAAATGTGCATTTCTCTGGCTTGGCTGGGTTGTGTTAAATTCCTGAGGGAGGGACTATTGCTTCTCCCTGCAGTTCTAGAAAGGAGTTCTTTGAGTAAGGTGGCTATTGTCCTGTGAGGGAGTGGTTCAGCATAAAACTCCCATTGCCCTCCCAGCTCTCCAAGCTCCCGCGTCTCCACACAGTTCCAGTCCAGTCTGCCCTCCCTCTGCTGTAGCCCAAGGTGAGTGGTTGTACCTAATTTAGTTCTCTGCACTGTGGAGCCAGCTTTAGATTTTAACCCTGAGGGAGCTGCTCACAGCTAAAACAGCTGCTGCCTGTGTGCTCCCAGCCTGCCCTCTCGTGCCTCCGCAGTTTCTACCAGCTTGATTTAGTGTCCTTTTACTGTCCCTGGTTACACGGGTTCTCTCCAGCTGCTTTTCTGTTGTTTTTTCCCAACGATTTGTCTTTATTTTAGTTGTAATTCCAGTTTGGTCCTTGGAGATGGTCTGTGTAGCTTCCATTCACTCCACCACCACTTTGGAATCAAGATTAATAATATTTAAGGCAATGTTTTAAAAAATCAAATCAGCCCTGGCCAATTTGGCTCAGCGGTAGAGCATCGGCCCACACACCAAAGAGTCACAGGTTTGATTCTGGTCAAGGCCACGTACCTCAGTTGCAGTTCAGTCCCTGGTCCTGTTTGGGGTCATGTGAGAGGCAAGGTCACATTGATGTTTCTCCCTGTCTCTCTCTCTCTCCATCCCTCCCATGCTATCTGAAGATAAGAATGGAAAACTTATCCTCCAGTGAGGATTTTTTTAAAAGCAGAAATATATATGTGTGTGCATATATGTGTGTGTGTGTATGTGTGTGTGTATAAATTATAATGCACACTGGTGCAGCCACTATGGAAAACAACATGGTATTACCTCAAAAAGTTAAAAACTGAACTGCCATTTGACCCAGTGATTCCACTTCTAGGAATATACCCCAAGAAGCCCAAAACAACAATCAGAAAGAACATATGTACCCCTATGTTCACAGCAGCACTATTTACAATAGCTAAGATCTGGAAACAGCCCAGGTGTCCATCAATAGATGAGTGGATAAAAAAGCTGTGGTTGCCCTGGCTGCTTTGGCTCAGCAGTTAGAGCGTCAGCCTGTGGTCCAGAGAGACCCTGGTTCGGTTCCCACTAAGGGCACGTACCTCGGTTACAGTTTGTCCCTGGCCCTGGTTGGGTCATGCTGGTGGCAATCACTCAATGTGTCCCTTTCATGTCGATGTTTCTCTCTCTCTCTCCCTCCCACTCTACCTGAACCAAAAAAAAAAAAACATAAGGAAAAATGTCCTCAGGTGAAGATTTAAAAAAAAAGCTGTGATTGCCCGGCCTGAGTGGCTCAGTGGTGGAGCACTGACCCATGCACCAAAAGGTTACCACTTCAATTCCCGCTCAGGGCACATGCCCACGTTGTGGGCCCAATCCTTAGTGGGGGGCATGCAGGAGGTGGCCAATCAATGGTCTCTTTCATCGATGTTTCTCTCTCTCTCTCCCTCTCCCCTCCTCTCTCTCTAAAAACTCAATAAAGAAAAAAAATTAAAATAAAAAAAGTAGTGGTACATGTACACAATGGAATACTATGCAGCTGTAGGAAAGAAAGATCTCTTATCCTTTGAGACAACATGGAGGGACCTGGAGAGTCTTATCCTAAGTGAAACAAGCCAATCATAGAAAGACAAATATCACATGATCTCACTTATCTGCAGTATATAATCAACAAAACAAGCTGATGAACAAAACAAACCCAGAGACATAGAAGTAGGGTACAAACTTACAAACCTTAGAAGAGGGGGTCAGGGCAGAGGGCAGAGATTAAACCACAAGTTATATGCATGTATGTGTAACCACGGACATAGACAACAATGCTGGGGCAGGAGTGGGGGGGGGGCATTAAGGAGGAGGGTGTCAACGGGAAAAAGGAGAAACATCTGTAACAAAAATAAATTCATAAAAAAAAGTTAAAAATAAAATAAAAATTATAAAATCAAACCACAAACTAGGACCCAAAGGCCTGTGTGGGTTTTTATAAAGCTTTATCACAAAGTCCAGCGAGCATCTGTCTGTACACACACAATGTGCAATAACAAGTGGCCTTATGGGTCTGCATAACTAGTGGCCACTACCCCTACCGCACTCAAAAAAAAAAAAAACTGCTCCAAAGGAGCTGATAGGAGATCATTTCGCTGCCGCCGCTTCGGCATCTCTGAGACCACTGGAGCCGGTCCAAGAAGTTTGCAGTGGGCCCAGCTCCCTGCCCCAGCACCATTCCACCCAGCTAAGGGGGTTCTGTGACTTTATTTACTTCTTTCTTAAAATATATATATATTTTTTATCCTCACCCGAGGATATTTTTCCATTTTTTGTACAGATAGAGCGGGAGGGAGAGAGAGGAAGGGAGAGGGAGAGAGAGAGAGAAACATCGACGTGAAGGGACACATCGAGTGGCTGCCACCCGCACGACCAACCAGGGCCGGGGACAAACTGCAACCGAGGTACATGCCCTTAGCGGGAACCGAACCCGGGTCTCTCCGGACCGCAGGCCGACGCTCTAACCGCTGAGCCAAACTGGCCAGGGCTTAAAAAATATTTTTAAATGCTCACCTGAGGATGTTTATGGGTTTTACAGAGAGAGGAGGAGGGGGAGGAGGGAGAGAGGGAAATCGGAGCGAGAGAAGCAGGGACTCGGGATGGAACCCGCAACGTGGGTACGGCCGACTGGGAGTGGAGCCTGCAGCCCTGTTGGTGCGCCACGGAGGACACTCCACCGACGGGCCAGCGCGCAGGGGCTCTGCAGCTTTAAATCCCCCCAAGTTCCGCCTGGCAGGCGGTTGCCCAGGAAGACGACACACCGCTGGGCACGTGCCCTAGGCCTGGACCCTCGGCCCCATCGCTGCGCCTGCCGCGACCCCGCTCCCCGCCATGGCCTCCGGGAGGCGCCCGCCGGGCAGCCTCAGCCAGCCAGAGAAGGGGGGCCGGGAGGAGGCCGAGGGGGAGCAGGAGGAGGAGGAGATGGCAGTGGAGGAGGAGGAGGAGGAGGAAGAGGAAGAGGAGGAGGAGGAGGAAGAGGAGGAGGAGGAGAGGCGGGCGGAGGGGCAGGCGGGAGCCCCGGAGAAGCGGGGCGCGGCGGAGGACGAGGCGGGGCCCGGCGCGCTCAGCGAGGACTACCTGTGGAAGGTGATGGGCCGCACCGACAGCAACAACCAAGGGCCGCCGTCCGCTCGGCCCCGCTTGGCCAGCGTCGCGAGTCCCAGCTTGAGCCCCACGCTCACGCCCAGCGAGGCCCCCTCGACGCCCAGCGAGGCTCCTTCGACGCCCAGCGAGGCCCCCTCGACGCCCAGCGAGGCTCCCTCGACGCCCAGCCGGACGCCCAGCTCACGGAGCACGAGCTCCTCCTCCTCGACAAGTACCGCCCCCGCCCGCCCTTCCGAGGCTTCTGATCTCTGAACACGGCACCGGGCCACGCCCGAGTCCGCCCCAGTTCCTGGCACAGGCCCGGAGCTTGGCTGAGCCCGGTGTCCATTCCCAATTTAGGGTCCCGGGGAACCGCACAGAAACTGAGGACTTAGACGAACCTAGGGAATGCCGCTGCTCCTGCCTGTACCCACACGGATGCGTCCCCCCACGCCCGCCCACCCTCCCTCCCTCTTCCTCTCCCTCTCCCTCCCTCCCCCCCTTTCCCCCTCCCTCCCTTTTCCCCTCCCTCTCCCTCCCTCTTCCTCCCCCCATTTCCCCCTCCCTCCCTCTTCCTCTCCCTCTCCCTCCCTCTTCCTCTCCCCCCTTTCCCCCTCCCTCCCTCTTCCTCTGCCTCTCCCTCCCTCCCCCCCTTTCCCCCTCCCTCCCTCTTCCCCTCCCTCTCCCTCCCTCTTCCTCTCCCCCCTCTCCCCCTCCCTCTCCCCCTCCCTCTCCCCCTCTCCCCTCCCTCCCTCCCCTCCCTCCCTCTTCCTCTCCCCTCCCTCTTCCTCTCCCTCTCCCTCCCTCGTCCTCTCCCCCCTTTCCCCCTCCCTCCCTCTTCCTCTCCCTCTCCCTCCCTCTTCCTCCCCCCCTTTCCCCCTCCCTCCCTCTTCCTCTCCCTCTCCCTCCCTCTTCCTCCCCCCCTTTCCCCCTCCCTCCCTCTTCCTCTCCCCCTCTCCCCTCCCTCCCTCTTCCTCCCTCTTCCTCTCCATCTCCCCCTCCCTCCCCCTTTCCCTCTCCCCCTCCCTCCCCCCTATTCCCCTCCCCCTCCCTCCCCCTCCCCCTCCGTCCTGTCTCTCGCACGCACGCTTACACACACATACGCTTACACACGCTTACACACGCACGCACGCACGCACCACTCTTGCTGCTGCAGCACCTGGAGGGTTCTCGGCCAGTCACAACCAGCGCTGCAGAGAACAGCTCACCTCTGGGTTCCGTTTCCCCCAACACCACTGCGGCGGCTCCGGGGAAACATGTGTCAGGACGATCCCTGTCGGGGCGGAGGAGGGCGGACTGTCCTCCGCGGGGCCCCCGGCCTCCAGCCCTGGCTGTGCCCCCCCACTTTGTGACAAGGCAAAAACGTCTTCAGATGTTGCCAAATGCTTCCCGAGGGCAGCAGGGCCCTATTGAGAAGCACCGCTTAGGAGGGAAAGTCAACCATGTTTCCTGTTTCACTCAACAGGTTTTCCTAAGATATTTCAGACCTTCAGGAGGGACATGTCTGAAGTCAATTTCCATAGGTAAGAGAAAGTTTTCCATTTCCCCATTATTTTTGAAGCTGATTGCATTTACTTCTTGGATGAGCATGTCAGGAAAAGGAGTAAAATCATAACACCTAATTAATTCAAAAAGTGTTTTTTTGTTTTTTTTATCTACACTGTGAGACACTATAGAGGGGATAGAGACAAGGTCCCTGCCCATCTCCGACTTGTCACCTACCTATAGAGATGTCATGTGCACGCATTAATGTAACTTGAAATGATAATGGTATGCCACGTGTAGGCGCATGTTTAGAACATGAGTCTGTTGCTAAATTCGAGAGTGATCACGGACATCTGTGGAAGAGAGTGGAAATTTTGATCCTTTTCTTCCCTGCTGTTGAAGTTAGCGTTCCAGTACTTTACAATAAGATTCCAAAGAAACAACTCTTGGAATATCTTTATAAATCTTCCCTGAAATCTCCCAACAAGCCTAAGTCTACAATCTTGAATTAGTATTCACCCAAGTTTTGATTTTATGAGCAACTTTTGAATTATTAAGCATATAAGGAGAATAGTTCTGTTTCACTTACATGTTTCTATGTATCCTCTTATTTCAGCATTTTGATATTGAGATGATATATGTACGTGATTAAAATATCAAAGTATACAATGGTATCAAATTTAAAATCTTCATACTCTTCTTCACCCCCTACTCCCACACATTGGAATCAACACACTGTTAACAATTTGTTTTGTTTCCAGTGTAATTTTAAGTATATATTTTCATTTCTTGATATATCAATTTTTTTTCTTTATTGATTTTTAGAGAGAGAGAAAGGAGAGAGATAGAAACATCGATGAGAGAGAACATAGATTGGCCGCCTCCTGCACGCCCCCCACTGGGGATCGGGCCCACAACCTGGGCATGTGCCCTGACCGGGAATTGAACCGGCGACCTCTTGGTGCATGGGTTGACACTCAACCAGTGAGCCACACCAGCTGGGCTGATATATCAATTTTGGCATAACTAATGACTTCCCACCATGAAAGATAACAATTGTAACTTATACTACCTCCCTCCTCTCCATTTTTGGTAATTAAATTATTTTTAGTTTTTCTAACATTTAGGACTATAAGGGATTTAAACCTCTACATTTTTTTCTTCACTATTGAAAGTATTACAGATGTCCTTCATGCCCCCCACCCGTCGACTCCCTCCTTCCCTCTCCCCACAAACTTCTATATCTTGATTAGTCCATTTCAGTGACTATTAACTTATGAAAAATTAACACAATATGCAATTCTACTTCCTTCCATCTCTTCTCTCAGCCTTTCCTCTCCAGTTAGCAACAAAGTATATAACACACTGTATTAAAACTTATAATATATATTTACATAAAGTCATATTGCATTGCCAAGCTTTATTATGTTTGTATTCTATTTTGTAATTATAATTAACTCTTAGTGTTTTGGGTATAGGTTGATTCTAAAAACTAAAAACCAACAAACAATACTCATAATTTCATGCTAAGACCCAATAATGTGACTGAATGAATGCACAAGAAAATGAAATCCTGTGTTCATAAAGCTGGACTCTTAAAAGATAAACTTTTCAACTCTTCGCTGTTTTTAACTGCCTTCAGTTTTTCTGAATCGGGCTCAATGGCCACACTTTCTTGCTTCCCATATTTCTTTCTTTCTTTCTTTCTTTTTTCTGGAGCAACTCCTTAGGTAATTTGTAGGGATGGGGTTTGGTGGATGAACACAATGTAACCTTGTGATACGCATTCTCATGACCTGGCCAGCCTGGGATCAAAATGTGTGTGGACAGACAGGTTTGCGTGGAGGGCAGGGAGACCGCTCTGTTTGGAATGGAATGTTTTTTGTTTGCAGGTGAATAGATAAGGTTTGCATGTCAATAGGTTGGAAACCCACCATGAGAGGATAATGGGCATGGAAGCCCAGGTGAGGTTGGATTTGTTATTTTATTTTTATCTTTGATGTCTCTTCACAGTAAAAAGCGAGACAGGGCTTGGCTGTATGGTCAGCAGAGCTGCCATCTCACGGAAATAATTACCTAAATCAACATGTAACCTGGGGAACCACTCTGCAAATAAATTGGGCTACATCCAGAGGTCTGGAGCATTTTGCTCTCTCGCAATGCTCCCCCTCACTGCTAGCAGCGTGTGCTTGTAGTTTATTGCGTTGTGACAACCCCTGGCAGGCCGAGAGACAGCAGTAATTATTTCACATAGAGCTCATGGGAATTCAACTTTCTGAGTCCTTCCCTGTCTTGAAATGTCTTCATTTTGCCTCATCCTTTATTTATAACATGACCTGGCATAAAACAGTAGGTTTAAAACCACTTGCACTCGGCACTCTGAAGACACTGATTGCTTCCGTGCATTCTGGCATCCAGTATCGCTGGTCAGTGATTCTCAAACCCTTCTGAAACTTGCTTATGTCCTCCCGTCACTGCCCTTGTCCTTCCCTTCAGAACTCCTGAAAGATAGATGTTGGGCCTCTTGGTTATCTTCATGATTTCCGGTGTTTACATGCTACTACGCAGCCTTTGTAAAGAATTTATTTCAGGATTCATGTCTGTCATTTCCAAGAACCAGTTCTTGTTCTCTGCTGCTACACAAATAGCGGCGTGGCATCTTTTTAAATGTCTTTGAGGATACTCTTACAGTACACTTAATTTCTTCTTTGTTCTCTGTAGTGCTTTTTTCTTTCGGGATCTGCTGTTCTGTTTTTTATCTTGGCCCTTCTGCTTCCATGCTAGTGATTGTCCCTAAGTGACTGCCAATCCTTGGTTATCCATTTGTATTTACAAACCAATGACTGTCAGGTAGCTACAATGGAGCCTGCAGCTGAGTAGTTCGGTTGTTGTTTTTTATTATTTATTGATTTTTGGAGAGAGAGGAAAACATCAATTTGCTGTTCCACCTATTGATACATTCATTGGCTGATTCCCATATGTGCCCTGACCCGGGATCAAACCCATAACCCTGGTGCATCAGGGTGATGCTCCAACCAACTGAGCCACTCAGGGCCTGAGTAGTTCTGTCTTCTAACAGGGCATACAGAGGGAAGTTAACTGTGAGTCCTCTGTAGGTGGGTGACATATGTCAGAGCGGATTTCCGGTGGAGTGTCGCAGGGAGCAGACAAGATGGATGACCCCACCATTACTAGAGCGAAGATAAGGACACTTTACTGTGTGGTTGGAGTTCTTTATGGGTAGAACGTGCCTGTCCCTTCACCCAAGCCTGCTGAGCAGGTCCTCAGGAACCTCATACTGTGCTCTGCTTCTCTTTCAGGCTAAAACCCCCCGGGCAGGCGGCTCACATTTTCTAGACAGCCGTTCTTTGGGCTTCATCTGGAAATATAAGCGACTCCTGCCAAAAGCTCTAGATGTGGGGAGAGAAGGAGTCTGCCTGGGCAACTCTTCCAAGGCCGCCCCTTGAACATGACGGACGGGCCCAGCCCCCATGTCCGCAGTGGCTGAGTCTGAGCTGGAGCCCCTCGGGGATTCCCTTCAGAGCTGCCCTTCCTGGTCTCGAGCCGTGGTGTCCCTGCTCTGGGTCTCCGTCAACAAGGGGCCACTTCTCTTCTTCCTTGTAGCGACTTGGTCAATATGACTCATCCACACTGGCACCTTTCTTGTTTCCCAGGGCTACTTCTTTGTTTGCTCTTACGTATTTCCCTGTGTGCTCCGGTGCCCTCGCCGCCTGCACTTCCGACGTGGGAAGCTGTCTCGCTCAGATCTCAATTTTCTCTCCTAAACCTTCGGAAGAACATGCTTTTTTGGTGTTTCAAAGCAATCTCTGGTGAATGTGGTCAGATGTGTTTTGAAGGAAATCTGTCCTAAAAGCCATAAAAACACCACCAACATTGGCTCGACTTCTATTTGGAATGGCCCTATTACTATTCAGGTCGAAAATGGGCAAACTCTCCCTGGCCGGTTTGGCTCAGTGGTTAGAGCGTCGGCCCGCAGACCAATGAGTCACGGGTTTGATTCCGGCCAAGGGCACGAACCTCCCTTGCGGTTCATCCTGGCCCTGGTGGGGTCATGTGGGAGGCAACCAGTCGATGTGGCTCTATCACATCCATGTTTCTCTCTCTCTCCCTTCTCTCCCACTCTATCTCATAATAAGTGGAAAAATATCCTCAGATGAAGAATTAAAAAAAAAAAAAAAAAAGTGGGGCAAACTCTAGGAGCAGATACATGTGGAGTAACACAGGTTTGGGAGCCAGACAGGTCGGGGCTGTCTGCCTCTGCCGCACACAATTTCTGGCAGGTTCCCTAGAGCCTCCGTTTCTTTGCCTGTAGGAAAGGGTACTAATACCAGCCTTGAATGGTTTTTGCAAAGGTCCATGATATCATGTGAGAAAGCAACTATTATGTATGTGCGACTACACAGTACGTTCGCAGAAAATGTTAATTTTGTTGTTACCCTTGGTCGTCTGCCATCTTGATGCAGGATTTCAGAAACAGTCTTTGGTATTGGTTTAAGGCCGGGACACCGAGATGAGCCGTGCACTGATTTTGTTAACCGCTGCCTTTGGGTGGGGTGGAATCCGAACAGTAAATGTTGTCCAGGAATTGTTCTGCAGCGTGCCTGTGCTCTTGGTCCTTGGAACTTGTTCCTCCAGGAGGTCGGATCAGCCGAGACCCCCCCAGGGACTGGCACAGGCGGCATTGGCAGAGTTCTTCACCCATTACAGGGCACTGTCATTACAGATGAAAACAGAACACCCCCCTGCTGCAGTGTGCCAAGACACAAGGTGGAGCCCGGCCGGTGTGGCTCGGTGGTTGAGCGTTGACCCTGAACCAAGAGGTCGCCAGTTCGATTCCTGGTCAGGGCACACGCCCAGGTTGTGGGCCGATCCCCAGTCGGGGGTGTGTAGGAGGCGGTCAATCCATGTTCTCTCTCATCAACATTTCTCTCTCTCTCCCTCTCCCTTCCTTTCTCTCTCAAATTAATAAAGGAGAAAAAATTTTTTTAAAGAGGATGGTAGAGACATAAGAGAACAGAGAAACATAAAAAAAGGGACAGTTATAAAATTGACTGAATTATTTGTTAAAATTTTGTTTGATAATTTTGGGAAATGCCCTGAATTATTACAAAAAATTGAAATGCAGCCCTGGCCAGTTTGGCTCAGCGGTTGGAGCGTCGGCCTGCGGTACAGAGAGACCCGGGTTCGGTTCCCGCTAAGGGCATGTGCCTCGGTTGCAGATTGTCCCCGGCCCTGGTTGGTCGTGCGGGTGGCAGCCACTCGATGTGTCCCTTTACGTCGATGTTTCTCTCTCTCTCTTCCTCTCTCTCCCTCCCACTCTATCTGAACAAAAAATGGAAAAATATCCTCGGGTGAGGATAAAAAAAAAAAAAAAAAAATTGAAATGCAGCCCTGGCCAGTTTGGCTCAGCAGTTAGAGCGTCGGCCTGTCGACCAGAGTCCCGGGTTCGTTTCCCACTAAGGGCACGTACCTCGGTTGCAGTTTGTCCCCGGCCTCAGTTGGGGTCGTGTGGATGGCAGCCACTTGATGTGTCTCTCTCACATCGATGTTTCTCTCTCTCTCCCTCTCTCTCTCTCCCTCCTGCTCTATCTGAAGATAAATGCACAAATGTCCTCGGGTGAGGATTAAAAAAAAAAAAAGAAAATGAAATTGAAAGAGGCAAAGGAACTTGAAAAACAATAGTTGTTGTTTACTTGTTACCAGTGACAGTCATTTTAACTAGGAAAAGTCAGTAAGCTCCTGCTTTCCTCTATCATGTCAATGACAGACTCAAATAACTGATTCAACTTCTTGTAGAAAGAATGCAGATTTTTTTAATCCTCACCCAAGGATATTTTTCCATTGATTTTCAGATCGAGTGGGAGTGATGGAGGGGGGGGGGGGGCGGGGAGAAACATGGATGTGAGAGAGATACATCGACCGGTTGCCTCCCGAAAAACCCTGACCAGGGCCAGGGATAGAACCGCAAGCAAGGCACATGCCCTTGGCTAGAATCAAACCCTCAGCTCTTTGGTCCGCTGGCCCACGCTCTAACTGCTGAGCCACACCTGCCAGGGCTACACTGTAGACTTGTGCATTACAAGGCATGTCACTTCAGCCGTCTAAAAAGAGTTTGTATTATTTTTAAGCTATTTTAAAAGAACAATGTGCGCCCTGGCCAGTTTGGCTCAGCGGTTAGAGCGTCGACCTGCGGTCCAGAGAGATTCGGGTTCGGTTCCCGCTAAGGGCACGTACCTCAGTTGCTGTTTGTCCCTGGCCCTTGTTGGGTCATGTGGGTGGCGACCACTCGATGTGTCCCTTCACGTCAATGTTTATCTCTTTCACTCTCCCTCCCACTCTATCTGAACGAAAAAAAATATCGAAAAATGTCCTCTGGTGAAAATTTTAAAAATAAATAAATAAAAGAACAATGTGCTCTCATTTAAATTCAAGGAAATGTTTAAACACATGCACACCATCACTGCCACCACCACTAGCCACACACACGCACAGAGAGGGTGGCAGGACTTCATTCCCCGGGAGATAAATAGTATTGGGAGCCTCCAGCCTCCAGGGTTTAGAAGGGAACTTTCTAAGGAACAGACGCAGTGCTAACACACCACGCCCGACTTTGCTGAGCACATACACATGGAAGAAAATGTTTCAAAGAAAACAGGATTCAGGATCTTCTGTGTACATTTGTTATCTGACTTTTAAATGTCCTATGTTTATAGAAGAAGTGCTGACACCTATATCGGTATACCCAAAAGTAACATCCTGTCTGCATTCCAGGACCACTGATCCCGGCTCGTGGACAGGAATCCCAATATCAGTGCAAACAGAGGAAAGTTGGCTCCAAGACACGTCCAGACACGGGCAGCCTGGTGAGCAGTCTGATGTCTTAGCTCTTTCTGGGCGATGGGCTGGCAAGTTGCAAAGAGCAGGGCGGACAAGCGGGTGACCGAGGTTGGAATCGCAGCCCCCACACGAACAGTGGGTTGATGCAGCAGATCCTTACCCATTCATCTCTGTCTCTCCCCGTGTTGGCAGTGATGACGCTGCTGTCGCAGGACTGTTCTGTCGATCAAAGTGACAGGAAATGTTTATTCATTATTTATTTATTTTTAATTTTTTTCCCCTTTATTAATTTTAGAGAGAGAGAAAGGGAGAGGGAGAGAGAGAGGGAAACATCGATGAGAGAGAGCATCGATGGGCCGCCTCCTGCACACCCCCCACTGGGGATCAGGCCCACAACCTGGGCATGTGTCCTGACCGGGAATCGAACCAGCGACCTCTTGGTGCAGGGTCCACACTCAGCCACTGAGCCACACCGGCCAGATGAGATAAAATATTCAAAGTCCTTGTCACTTAGTCTTTAAGAAATGGTAGCATTTATGTTCACATCAGGAAATCATCGCCATTATATTTTGACATATCTCTCTATTTTTATTATGAAAGTAATACATGCATGCTGTTTTTAAAAGTCAGATTGTTAAGAAATATATGATGTAAAAGTTAAAATGTTTACTTGTCCCGCCCTGGCCAGTTTGGCTCAGCGGTTAGAGCGTCGGCCTGTGGTCCAGAGAGACCCGGGTTCGGCTCCCGCTAAGGGCACGTACCTCGGTTGCAGTTTGTCCCCGGCCCTGGTTGGTCGTGCGGGTGGCAGCCACTTGATGTGTCCCTTGCACGTCGATGTTTCTCTCTCTCTCTCTCCTTCCCACTCTATTTGAACAAAAAATGGAAAAAAATGTCCTCCAATGAGCATATAAAAAAAATATGGGGGAATTCCAAAATGGCAGTGGAGTGAACAGAAGCTACACAGACCGTCTCCCAGGACCAAACTGGAATTACAACTAAAACACAGGCAAATTGACGTGAAAAAGCAACAGAAAAGCAGCTTGCAAGGATCATATAACCAGGGACACTGACTTGATCCTGGTAGGATGGTGGAGGCATGAGAGGGGGGCTGGGAGCCCACGGTTGGCAGCAGACCTTAGCTGGGAGCAGCACCCTCGGGTCACACTCCCAGGCGGCTCCACAGTGCAGAGCCGGGACAGAGGCTGAAACAGCCACAGCCACTCACCTTGAGCTCCAACAGAGGGAGGGCAGGCTGGACTGGAACTGTATAGGGACACTCCGATTTGGAGGGGGCTCAGAGCTTTTGCTGAGTTCTAGCCACACAGGATGGTGGTCATCTTGATCTTTCCCAGGGCTCTGAGGAGAGGCAGCGGCCTCACCCTCGGAGATCCAACCCCACCCTGTGGGCCACTGAAATGCAAATTGAGGCTCATTAACAACCAGCATCTGCCCCACCCTCAGGAAATTCCCTTACACTGAGCACCTGAGGGAGTTTTTCATTCAACTGACAACCCAAAACTCTTCAAGTAACCTCTACTGCTAGCCTCCAGGCAAAAAGCTATAGGATAAATGTACCATTCCTGGGCTAGCAACTCTAACAAGAAAAGTAAGACTTGACACTGGTGTTTAATGTGGGTCCTCTCTCACTCATCCAAACCCAGGAGAGGGAGCCACAAACAGCAGAACACCAACACCCACAGGGAGAACTTGGCAGGCTCCAAATCCCACTGTGATAGTTAAAATGGTGAAACACAGAAACAAAAGCCAAATGGAAGAACAAGACACCTCCACCGAAGATTAGATAAATATGGAGCAGTTAGGCAAGTTAACAGAGCTAGGATTCAGAGCCATGATCTTAAGGAAACTCAACAGCATGAGTAAGGACGTAGAGATGTTGAAAATCAACCAATTGGAAATTAAAAACCACTAAGAAGAAATCAAGAATGATATATTAGAAATAAAGAACAGCCCTGGCCGGTTTGGCTCAGCGGTTGGAGTGTCAGCCTGCGGTACAGAGAGACCCGGGTTCGGTTTCCGCTGAGGGCACGTACCTCAGATGCAGTTTGTCCCTGGCCCTGGTTGGTCGTGCGGGTGACAGCCACTCGATGTGTCCCTTCACATCTATGTTTCTCTCTCTCTCTCTCTACCTCTCTCTCCCTCCTGCTCTATCTGAACAAAAAATGGAAAAATGTCCTCGGGTGAGGATTAAAAAATAAATAAAAAAATAAAAAAGAAATAAAGAACACATTGGAAGGTCTAAACAGCAGAGTAGAGGAAGCAGAAGACCAGATCAGTGAATTAGAAAACAGGGTAGAAAAAATCAACCAATCAGAAAACCAAAAGGAAAAATCGATTAAAAAACAGGAAGACAGCTTAAGAGAACTGTGGGACAACTGGAAATGTAATAATATTCACTTCATAGGAGTCCCTGAAGAAGAAGAAAATGAGCAAGGGTTAGAGATATATTTGAAGAGATAGTGACAGAAAACTTCCCTAACTTGCTGAAGGATGATGGCATTCAAGTTCAAGAAGCACATAGAGCCCCAAGTAAGAAGAACCCAAACAGGCCCACACCAAGACACATAGTAATTAAAATGCCAAAAATTAAAGACAAAGACAGAATCCTAAAAGCAGCAAGAGATAAGCAACAGGTTACCTACAAAAGAACCCCAATAAGGCTATCAGCTGACTTCTCACAAGAAACACTACAGGCCAGAAGGGAATGCCATGAAATAATCAAGGTTATGAAAAACAAGGATCTGAATCCAAGACTACTCTACCCAGCAAGGCTGTCATTCAAAATAGAAGGTCAAATAAAGAGCTTCCCAGACAAAAAAAAAAGGCTAAGGGAATACATTAGCACCAAACCAGCACTGCAAGAAATGTTAAAAGGACTGTTGTAATTAGTAGAAAAAATAGGAAGAAAAATATAACCAAACTAAACAAAAATGGCAATAAATAAGTATATATCAATAATCACCTTAAATGTAAATGGATTGAATCCTTTGATAAAAAGACACAGAGTAGCTGATTGGATAAGAAAGCATGACTCACATATATGTTGTTTACAAGAGACCCACCTCACACAAAAGACTCACATGGGTTGAAAGTGAAGGGATGGAAAAAAATCTTCCAAGCAAATGGAAAGCAAAAAAAAGCTGGGGTAGCAATACTCATATCTGATAAAATAGATTTCAGAATGAAGGCCATAAATAGACATGAAGAAGGCCACTACATAATATTGAAAGGATCTATCCAACAGGAAGATAAAACCTTGATAAACATAAATGCACCCAATATAGGAGCACCAAAATATATTAAAAATCTTCTGGAGGACTTCAAAGGAGAAATCAACAGCAATACAATCACAGCAGGGGACTTCAACACCCCACTGACATCACTGGATAGATCCTCTAGACAAAAAATTAGCAAGGAAACACAGACTCCAAATGAAGCACTAGACCAAATGGATTTAATAGATATCTTCAGAGAATTACACCCCAAAACTACAGAATTCACATTCTTCTCAAGTGCACATGGGACATTCTCAAAGATAGACCACATGTTAGGACACAAATTAAATCTCTACAAGTTCAAGAGGATTGAAATCATATCAAGCATCTTCTCAGATCACAATGGCATAAAACTAGAAATCAATTGCAACAAAAACATGCAAAGACATTTGAACACATGGAAGCTAAATAGCATGTTATTAAACAATGCATGGGTTACCGAGGAGATCAAGGAAGAAATTAAAAATGTCTTGGAAACCAATGAAAATAAAGACACAACAACACAAAATCTATGGGATGCAGCAAAAGCAGTCCTGAGAGGGAAGTTCATTGCACTACAGGCCTATCTCAAGAAACATGAAAAATTTCTAATTAACTATCTAACCTCACAACATAAAGAATTAGAAAGCAAACAAAAAGAAAACCCCGGAGCAAGTAGAAGGAAGGAAATAGTAAAGATCAGAGCAGAAATAAATGACATAGAGACCAACAAAAAAAAACAATTCAAAGTATCAATGAAACAAAGAGCTGGTTTTTCGAAAAGATAAACAAGATTGATGGACCCTTAGCTAGACTCACCAAGAAACAGAGAGAGAGAAACCAAATGCACAAAATCAGAAATGAAAGAGGAGAAGTAACAACTGACACCACAGAAATACAAAAGATTTTTTTTTTTTTTTATCCTCATCCGAGGACATTTTCCCATTTTTTTGTTCAGGTAGAGTGGGAGGGAGAGAGAGGAACAGAGAGAGAGAGAGAAACATTGACGTGAAAGGAACACATTGAGTGGCTGCCACCCACACAACCGACCAGGGCTGGGGACAAACTGCAGCTGAGGTACGTGCCCTTAGCGGGAACTGAACCTGGGTCTCTCAGGACCGCAGGCCGACGCTCTAACCACTGAGCTAAACCGGCCAGGGCCAAAAGATTATTAACAGCTACTATGAACAATTATATGGCAACAAATTCAATAATTTAAGCAAAATGGACACATTTCTAGAAACACACAGTCTCCCAAAACTGGATCAGGAAGAGATAGAAAACTTGAACAGACCAATAACAACTAAGGAAATTGAAGATGTAATCAAGACTCTCCCAGCAAACAAAAGCCCAGGCCCGGATGGCTTCACGGGGGAGTTTTACCAAACATTCAAAAAAGAACTAACAACACCCATTCTCATCAAACTATTTCAAAAAATTCAAGAAGAAGGAAGACTTCCAAATTCGTTTTATGAGGCCAGCATAATTCTAATTCCAAAACCAGAAAAAGACACTACAAAGATAGAAAACTACAGGCCAATATCCCTGATGAACATAGATGCGAAAATCTTGAACAAAATACTAGCAAATCAGATCCAGCAATACATCAAAAAAATTATTCACCATGACCAAGTGGGATTCATCCCAGGGATGCAAGGCTGGTACAATATTCGCAAATCAATAAATGTGATACACCACATAAACAAAATGAAGAATAAAAACCATGTGATCATATCAATAGATGCTGAAAAAGCATTTGACAAAATCCAGCATCCATTTCTGATAAAAACACTCAGCAATGTGAAAATAGAGGGATCATATTTCAACATAATAAAGGCCTAATATGAAAGACCTGCAGCCAACATCATGCTCAATGGGCAGAAACTAAAAACATTTCCCTTAAGAACAGGAACAAGACAGGGATGCCCACTTTCACCACTCTTATTTAACATAGTACTAGAAGCCTTAGCCACAGCAATCAGACATGAAGGAAAAATGAAAGGGATCCAAATTGGAAAGGAGGAAGTAACACTGTCATTATTTGCAGATGACATGATATTATACATAGAAAACCCTAAAACTCCATCAAAAATCTACTAGACTTAATAAATGAATTTGGCAAAGTAGCAGGATACAAAATTAACGTCAAGAAATCGACGGCATTCTGATACACCAATGATGAACTCACAGAAAGAGAAACTGAAAAAACAATCCCATTTACCATCGCGCCAAAAAAATTACGATACCTAGGAATAAACTTAACCAAAGAAGTAAAGGACCTATTTGCAGAAAACTACAGGACATTGAAAAAAGAAATAGAGGAAAATATAAAAAAGTGGAAGCACATATCCTGTTCATGGATTGGAAGAATTAACATCATTAAAATGTCCATATTACCCAAAGCAATTTATAGATTCAATGCAATCCCCATCAAAAAACCAACGACATATTTCACAGAACTAGAACAAATACTTCAAAAGTTTATATGGAACCAAAAAAGACCCCGACTAGCCACAGCAATCTTGAAAAAGAAGGACAAAGCAGATGGGATCACAATACCAGATACCAGGTTATACTACAAAGCGACGTAATCAAAACAGCCTGGTACTGGCACAAAAACAGGCATATAGACCAGTGGAACAGAATAGAGAACCCAGAAATGGACCCAAGGCAATATGCTCAATTAATATTTGACAAAGGTGGCAAGAGCATACAGTGGAGTAAAGACAGCCTCTTTAATAAATGGTGTTGGGAAAATTGGACAACTACATGCAAAAAAATGAAACTAAACCATCCACTTACACCATACACAAGAAGAAACTCAAAATGGATAAAAGACTTAAATGTGACCCGTGAGTCCATAAAAATTCTAGAAGAAAATGTAGGCATCAAAATTTCGGACATCATATGCAGCAGAATTTTCACTGATACATCACCTAAGGCAACAGAAACAAAGGAAAAAATTAACACGTGGGACTACATCAAACTCAAAAGCTTCTGCACATCATAAGAAACAACCATCAAAATGGAAAGGCAACCCACTGTATGGGAGAACATCATTGCCAATGATACATCAGATAAGAAATTAATTTCCAAAATATATAGAGTACTCATACAACTCAACAAAAGGAAGACAAAGAACCCAATTAAAAAATGGGCAGAGGAACTCAATAGACACCTCTCCAAACAGAACATACAAATGGCCAAGAGACATATGAAGAAATGCTCAACATCACTAATCATCAGAGAGATGCAAATTAAAACAACGAGGTATCACCTCACACCTGTCAGAAGGGCTGCTATCAACAAATCATCAAACAACAAGTGTTGGCGAGGGTGTGGAGAAAAGGGGACTCTAGTACACTGCTGGTGGGAATGCAGACTGGTGCAGCCACTATGGAAAACAATATGGGGTTACCTCAAAAAATTAAAAAATTGAACTTCCATTTGACCCAGTGATCCCACTTTTAGGAATATACCCTAAGAAGCCTGAAACAACAATCAGAAAGAATATATGTACCCCCATGTTCATAGCAGCACTATTTACAATAGCTAAGATCTGGAAACAGGTCAAGTGTCCATCAGTAGACGAATGGATAAAAAAGCAGTGGTACATGTACACAATGGAGTACTATGCAGCTGTAAGAAAGAAAGACCTCTTATCCTTTGAGACGACATGGAGGGACCTGGAAAGTATTATCCTAAGTGAAACAAGCCAAGCAGAAAAAGACAAATACCACATGATCTCACTTATATATGGAATATAATGAACATAACAGTCTGAGGAATAGGGTAGTCCCAAAAACATGGAAGTAGGGTACAGACTGACAACCCTCAGATGAGGGGATGGTGGGGGGAGGGAAGAGATAAACCACAGAACTTATATGCAGGTGTGCATAACCAATGGACATGGACAACAAAGCCTGGATGGGGCGGGGGGGAGGGGATAGGGAGGAGGGTGTCAATGGGGTAAAAAAGGAGAAACATCTGTAACAAAAAGAAAATAAAAAATAAAAAGTATGTATGTTTCCTTGTCCCAATATACTCCTCAGAAGTCATCTTTGTGAATAGCCTTTTCTTTGAAGTCTTGTACTTGTTTGGAGCTACATCACTTACTCAGCAGTAACACAAAACAGGCAAATGTATGAAACGTTGGGCGAGGCAGGTGCTAAGGGAGGAGCTCAAGCAGGTAAAGGGGTGGGAGATGTGGGCAGGAAGGGGGCCGTCTCACCCAGGTGCTCGGGAAATCGTCCCTGGGAAGCTGAAATAGCTGAGCAAAGACCTCAAGGAGGTGAGGGGGGAGCAGGGCCCTCTAGGGGGAGGAGGTCAGGGCACAGGGACAGGAAGTCTCCTTCCAGAACAAGGAGGCGTGGGTACTGCTGCGGTGGAGTCCAGCGAGGGGGAGAATCTCAGGGCACAGGGTCAAAGAGACAGCGGGGACCAGAGCTTTTGCAGTGGGAAGTGGCCGGAGGGCTTGCCCAAGGGGGTGACAACCTAGCGTCACAATGGAGCACACATTTTTTAAATGTTAATTATTACCAATGTCATCCTGGTCGGATTTTGCATCGGAGTTTGACAGATTGATTCTTTGATCTGGCTTGGCAGTGTTAGAAGATGAACCGGGGCATTTCCAAGTGTGCATTGGCACACACATTCCTTGGAATCAGGCAGCATCAGAGCGGGACCGTCCCCCACAGGGGCCAGGAGAGGCCTTCACAGAGCAGAGCCGGGCAGAGCCAGGAGATTATTCCCTGGGCTACAGCTTCAGCGTCACACCACGGGGGGGCTGAGTGGGCTCTTCGGGGCGGGCTGTTCTGAACCCCGACGCGTTTACAGGAATTGACTCTGGCATGGGGTCAGCTTGCTTACCTGGGGCACCTGGAGCCACCACCGAGGGCCTCCTCGTGCGATGAACACCTGTCCAGTCTTTTTAAATGAATCTTCTTTTGTAGTTTTTTTTTCCATAGTGGACTCACCACGATGCAGCTTTCACCGGGTTATTCCTAGGTGCTTCTTAGTCTTTGTATTAGTGTAACAACTGGAATCCTTTTTCCTATTGTATTTTCTGATTGCTTATGGCACCGTACAGGAAAACTGCTGATTTCTATGTATGAGTCAGTTTGTCAGTTGAAAGCCTATGATACAGCTGCATTTCCTGTGGATAACAGCAGTTATATTTCTTCTTTAATTTTTGTACCTAGCGCTGGGTCATGCACACCTTTTCATGGGGGGAAAGACTGCTCTAAGTCTCTCAGTGACTACAGGATCCCCACAGACGCAGCCAGTGTCACTTACGTCACAAATCTGATTGCTAGATGTTTCAGGGTCGTTCTGGTTTGGTTTGGTTTAGATCTTTGAGCTCTTCCCAGTAGCAAATAATAACTGAATGAAAATGTCTGTGCATTATGTTTTATGTAGCAGGTCCTTGAGCAAGGTCATTTCATTAGAATGTTGATGAGTTACCGTGGGAACTTACTTCTTGTCTGCCAACCGGTCATTTCACTGAAAGTCACAGAACCTGCTGATGACTTAAATGAGGACTCACGCTGCGCCAGAGTTTGCGTTTCCGTTGGACACAATGCCGACCACATATTTGAGACGTTCCCAGATACTGCACACAGAAAGGGTGTCCTCTCCGAAGCCGGTCTCTCTCCGGCTCTTCCGGGAAAGGGGCCAGCCTCCTCCCTCTGCCCCCGAGTGAGCAGACTGTTCTGACTGGTTTCACGTCACTCCAATCCTATGCTTCAACTTCTGGATTCACTCAAAGCTGCTGGTGTGTGGGGAGCTGCCTTCCCCAGTTCTGCACTGCACTGGAGTCGGGGGGGGGGGGGGATGACACCGGTGTTTGAGTTCACTGTGTTGAACTTGAACCTCCTACCCCCACCCAACACCTGTCCACCCGAAAAATCTTTTATGAAATAGCAGACAGAGCCCTGGCCGGTTTGGCTCAGCGGTTAGAGTGTCGGCCTGCGGTCCAGAGAGACCCGAGTTCGGTTCCCGCTAAGGGCATGTACCTCGGTTGCAGTTTGTCCCCGGCCCTGGTCGGTCGTGTGGGTGGCAGCTACTCGATGTGTCCCTTTCACATCGATGTTTCTCTCTCTGTCTCTGTTCCTCTCTCTCCCTCCCACTCTGCCTGAACAAAAAATGGAAAAATGTCCTCGGGTGAGGATAAAAAAAAAAGAAAGAAATAGCAGACAGAAAGTAGACAGAATAGCACTTAAAAGAAGCAGAAAATAACAGTCTGCAAAACATGATTATAATCAAGTAAAATGCATCCCTATAGTAATCTAGTGCTAGAACGGGACAGAAACGTTTTAAAATGTGAGCTGTTAGAGTGGTGGGTTTTCTCTCTCTGTTACTTATTGCTGATAAAACGTTATTTAGAAAAAGGCAAGGAAAAAAAAAGAAAAAGATAAGCACAATAAGGGCACTTATTTCTCCAAGAGGTATATATTCTTTTATACTAAACTTCTTTCCTACTTTGTCTGGATTAATGACAAATGTGCACTCTTTCTACAGAGAAGAAAGCATCCCTTATAATGGAGAAAGCCCCATCTCAGAATATAGCTTCTAAGCTAAGAGGTGAGTGGATGCTGGGAGTCACCCCCTGTGCGGGCACGGGCAGACTGCTGTCAGGGACAGCGTAACTCTGGTGCCCATGCCCTTCGGAAAAGCCTTCCCCTAAGGAAAAATGCAACGGGTGGTGAAAAGGTGGTTTCTGGGCATTTAAACAGTGTGCATGTGCATGTGTATGTGGGTGTGTGCATGTGCAGGCATGTGCGTGTGTGTGTGCATGTGCAGACGTGTGCATGTGTATGCATGCATGTGCGCGCGTTCGTGTTGTGTGTGCGTGTATGTGCATGCGCGTGCGTGCGTGTGTGCATGTGCAGGCATGTGCGTGTGTATGTGCGTTCGTGTGTGTGCATGTGTGTGTATTGCATGCATGTGCGTGTGTGTGTGCATGTGCAGGCATGTGTGAGCATGTGCGTGTGTGCACACGTGTGATGGACTAGGATCTCCGAACTAGAGGAAATGGGATATACCGCACAAAAGTTTTAAACTTTCCTTCTAAATCTATCCTTTTCTCTTCAGAAAAATGGGTAATTAATCCGGAAGACATAAAACTAAATATTTTATGTGAGCTGGAGGTAAGACGTGTTTATCAGTCCACCTAGTAAACTGCCCCTGGTGAAAACCGCTTACTCAATCTTCAGTTCTCTCCCTGGCTCTCTTTCACATTCAGTTCGAGGAAGACTTCATAGCGCTGTTCGAGCCTTCCCTGCGGACCCTCCCCAGCGTCGGGCCACCCCCCTTCCTGGCATTCAGGCGAGAGAGGGCCAGGTCCAGCATTGACGTCAAGGTGATTTTAATTCTTTCTTTCTTTTTTTTTTTTTACCTCTAATAAATGATGTGAAAGCCACGTGATGATGTGCGCTGAGACAGTGAACATGAAAGAACGCCGGGCAGAGCCCATCACCTGGCCCAGCGCTGAGGCAGGAAGCTGTGCCCCGGGCTGCTTGCTGTCCGCAGGCCCACGGCGGCAGCGAGCGGCCCGGAGAGAGCCTGTGCTGCCTCGGCCCGGCCTGTGCTGCCTCCTCCCGGCCTGTGCTGCCCCCGCCCGGCCTGTGCTGCCCCCGCCCGGCCTGTGCTGCCCCGGCCCGGCCTGTGCTGCCCCGGCCCGGCCTGTGCTGCCCCGGCCCGGCCTGTGCTGCCCCGGCCCGGCCTGTGCTGCCTCCGCCCGGCCTGTGCTGCCTCCGCCCGGCCTGTGCTGCCTCCGCCCGGCCTGTGCCGGTGGCCAGTCCTCGGCCTCCGCCGGCAGCTGCAGCCCCCTCGCCTCCGCGTCCGGCCCGGCGTTCTGGGTGTCTGTGCCCAAATGTCTCTGGATTAGGACCCGCCCTAATGACCTCATCTAACCTCGGTGACATCTGCAAAGACCCCATTTCTAGATCAGGCCACATTCACAGTTACCAGGGCTTAGGACTTCGATATGTCGGGGGGGGGGCACAATTCAGCCTGTAACAGTGGCCGTAACACTGGAGCAGGTGAGACACGGGTTTGTCATGTTTGATGTTGCTGGACAGTGAGTGTCTGTGCTGGACGGGCGGGGAAAAGCCTCCGCACTTCCAACAGGGTGGCCGGAGCCGTCAGGGACAGCCCAGTGCAGTGAGCATTTCCAAACCTGGGTGTCGTGGCCGCTGGAGAGAACGCACAGTCCGCACGGCCGGACCCCTGTGACCACCTCTTCGGGGTGCACTGAGGTGCAGACGTTCGCAGAGCAGTCGGGGAGACCGCAGGCGCGCGGGCAGGGGGCGCTGCGTGGACGCCCCGACGTGGGCTCCTTGCGACCGGTGCAGCGCCTGGAGCCCGCGATTCTGCCGAGAGGCGAGACAGCAAATATATCGTGTCACTTAGTATCGACCAACATCCACCGTCTGCACCTGGCCCAGGGCTCCCAACGTTCTGGTCACCCCCAGACTCCCCGCTTGAAATTCTGTGTCCAACACAGCACCTCCCTCCCTCTGAGCCGCCAGCCTGTGTCCGGGCAGTTGTCTTGTGCTCTGTCCCCCGGTACCCAGAGAGGGGCCTGACCAGGAGGGAGGCCCTGCGGCCTTTCTTGCAGGGAGTCACTCCCGCGCCGGCCCTGCTTGGACAGACTCTGGGCCCTCCGTCCCGTCCAGGGCGGCGCGGTGAGCTTGCCCCTCTCCTCTCCGTCTCCACCGGACGCTTCTCGAAAGGTCTTGGTTTTCAGACTCCTTAGACCACCCCGTCTTCAAGTGCGGATGACAGCCCCACTCGTGGTCAGGGTCCCACCCCGATTCACCCCAGGCGCAGGGGTGCCGGGACCGCAGGCGGGCGTCCACGGTCCCTTGCAGGGGACAGGCTGCAGATGGCCTGGCACGGTCCCGCCCTCCTGCCCGGCTGCGGCGTTGTAGCCTCCTAGATTCTACACGCCAGCTCTGTTACAGGGCGAGGCCACCCCACCCGCCCCCACGTCCTCTGCTTCCAGCTACATCGTCGTGTAGGTTCAGAGGCTAAACCCGTGGGGCTGGACTGCGGCCTGGCGGATCCCCGACTGCCCTGGCCCCTCGGTTGCACTTTGTCCCCACGAGGGCTGTTCTGCCAGGTCCCAGAGGACGGTTTCTGTGGCAAGTGCGGATGCCCTGGTGGTGCTCGTGACCTGAAGCCATGACCTCGGTCTTCTCCGGGGGGCTGGCCCGGTCGCCAACATGACCTCAGATGACCAGCAGGGCCATCATGCATCAACCCCTCTCTGAGTCCCTGAGCTCCCGACTCCCTTCTGCTCCCCCTGCCCCCCCATTACCTTCATAGCCCGGACAAGAGCACTCAGAGCCCAGCCTGGGACCCCCGGAGAAGAGGCCCTCATTTAGAAAGTTGATCGTTATAGATGGTGGCCCACCTAGTAATGGCAAGACTTCTTTTTTTTACCTGACACTTCTTGAAAGAGTTTATGGTGTTCTAACTCCTTAGACCGTTTGCCCACAATCTGGTGTGTGTGATCTTCGGTCTCTTGCATGTAGTCATACAGTGTGTCCCCCTCCCCGGCAAGGGACTCTCATGTCAACAGTCATTTCTGCAGCTTTTCTGTGACACCCAGGAGCTGGGCTCTGGTGAACCGCACCAGACAGAGGCTCTCAAAACACCACCTCCGCGTCCTCCGTCCTCCCCACCTCTTGCACCCGAGTAACCCCTTCTGGAACACACAGATCTTCCTGGCTTGGGGCCTTCTGGTGTAGGACCCCAGCCTCCTGAAAGTCTCCCATCTGCTGTTGCTGGGTGTCTTCAGGGTGTCCGACAGGAGTTCTCAAGGAGGTTTGCACTGTCCGCCACCCCCGCCGTCCTAATGGACACTCGCTGGCCCTGCCCGAGCCCTGGCACCTCCCGCTCGCCCAGGCTCCTGGGCACAGGACTTCAGCTCTGCCCCTCCCCCAAGGAAGAAGAGGAGACACCGCCCCAGTGCGAATTCTGTGGGAGCGACCTCGGAACATTTCTTTCCAAAGTGGATATCCATTCGGACAACACGTGCTCTGAACTAATGAAACAGGTGAGTTCTAAAGCAGGTTCACTGAGGAAAGCGTGTTCTTTCTAAATCCCACTTTTAAATATATGTCATCTTTTCTCCTGCATCTCTCCCCTGCGTTGCCATTCTTTTTTGTTGTTGTTGTTAATATGTTTTTTTAATTGCTTTTTTAGAGGGAGAGAGAGAGGGAGAAACATCGATTGGCTGCCTCCTGCACGCCCCCTACTGGGGATGGAGCCTGCAACCCGGGCATGTGCCCTGACTGGGAATCGAACCCGGACCTCTCAGTCCCTGGGACGACGCTCCATCCACTGAGCCACACCGGCCGGGCTGCATTGCCATTCTTAAAAGTAATGTGTTAGTGGTCGGGGGAAACACGAATCATAACCACCATGGGATACCCCTCCACACCCACTGGACATCTGTGATGAAAAAGACAGATGATGACAAGTGTCGGCAAGGATGCAGAGAAATGGGAGCCCTCCTACACTGTTGAAGGGGAATCAAAACGGTGCAGCCGTGTTGGACAAAAGTCGTCGGGTAGTTCCTCATAAAGTTAAACATCCAATTCCCATGTAACCCAGCAATTCATTCCTAGCTACACACCCAAGAAAACTAACAACATATGCCCGCACAAAAGCTTGTACACAAAACAGTCCAAAGGTGAAAAGAACCCAGTGCCCTTCGACTGGTGAACGGGCATATAACTGGTGTATTCATGACATCCAATATGATTCAGTCATAAGAAGATTTGAAATTCTGATGCATTAGACAACATAGATGAACCTTGGAAACACTATGCCCAGTCACAAAGCACCACACGTATGGTTCCATTTCTGTGACTTGTACAGGACGGTGCACGAGGTTCCAGCTATACACAGAGTAGGTCAGTGGCCTGGGAGGAGAGAGGGGACAGGGTCCATGTTCTCAAGCTGACTGTGGGAATGGTCACACAACTCCGTATACACCGAAAACCTCAGACCGCACCCTCTAAGTGGGTGACTTGCATGGTCTACGGCTTCTATCACGACGCATGTGTCACCAGGAAAAGTTATGAGAGATTGTTATTCAAAGCCCATGAGCCGTTTCTGGTTTTTACCCCCTTTACTTATCCTCGTCCAGATTTGAAGAGGTAACAAGGATCCCTTTGTTTGTAGGTCCCCTGTTGTAGTTATTTCCAAAGTCTGGTTGACTACATCAACGAGGAAAATAAGAAGATGCAAAGCTCAACCGTGGAATTAATCTGCATCAACCCCCACGCAGCGCACGACCCGGAGGTGGACAGACTCAAAGAGAGGGAGAAGGCCCTGAGGAGGTAACGCTGAGCCGAGGATGCTGAAACTCAGCTAGGTCCCCTTAGAGCGCTCGGGGCGAAATGAGCCTTGTTTCTCAAAATCTGGGATCGTGCAGGTATGTTCCCGGTGGAGAAATAAGATTGGCCGAAGCGTACTTGTTACAATTACTGGGGGTGTTATGAGATTCAGAACCTCCCAGAAACTCGGTGAACTCACCGATCTGAAGTAGAAATGTCCAGCCCCGGCCGGTGTGGCTCAGTGGTCAGAGTGCTGGCCCTCGCACCGAAGGCTGCCGTGTACCTGAGTTGCAGGTTTGATTCCCGCCCCAACCAGGGTGTGTGCAGGAGGCGACCGATTGATGTGTCTCGTTCACATTGATGTTTCTCTCTCTTTCTCTCTCTCCCCTCCATCCACCCTCCCTCCCTCCCACTCTCTCTAAAAATCAATGAAAAAAACACCTCAGGTGAGGGTTAACAACAACAACAACAAAACATAGAAATGTACCAACCCAGATTCTCAGGGCAATCCAGAATTCCTATATTGGGGAAATTTGTCCACCAGAGTAGAGACCCGCGTGCTTTGATTAAATAACTAGATTCACGAGTAATAACAGATAAAAACCTCAAGAGATGACATTTAGATAGTTAAAATTTTAGTATACTTTTTAAAGCTTAAAACGCGTTTCAGAGGGATGCATCCTTTTTTGTTTGATTTTGTAGAAAACAAGAGCAACAAATGGCCAAACACTGGGCAATGAAAAGGAGCGAGCATGCTAGTTTCTCAGAAGACGGTGAGTTCAGCAAAGCTCATGTTGTGGATCAATTCTACGTCAGAGCGCGCATATGCTGGACCAACAGCTAAAACGGGCATATTTAACAAACACTGAAGTTTTCGTCTCAGTTGCTGCATTAGTTAAAATGGCTCAGAAACCCCGGCCGGTTTGGCTCAGCGGTTAGAGCATTGGCCCACAGACCAGAGAGTCCCATGTTCGGTTCCCGCTAAGGGCACGCACCTCGGTTGCAGTTTGTCCCCGGCCCCCGTTGGGGTCATGTGGGTGGCGACCAGTTGATGTGTCTCTCTCACATTGATGTTTCTCTCTGTCTCTTCCTCCCTGTCTCCCTCCTGCTCTATCTGAAGACAAATGCAAAAATGTCCTCGAGTGAGGATAAAAAAAAAAAAAAAATGGCTCAGAAAATCTGGTGATTCAAGTCACTCAGCTTTTGAGGTTTTTAGTCTTCATCTTGTTATTGATTGAAATAAATTAGTAACATCCATAGGGCACTTTACAGACTACTTACTGCAAAGGGCTTTTGAGTTCATTGTCTCTTGCTTTATTAAGCACAATTCCGTATTGTCTTCAAGCTGGGGTATGGAAAATTTGTCAAAAACAGATCAGATTTCTTTCTTCACACAGGTTCCAGCAGTCAGTTGGCATATTTATGTATTTATTTAACTCATGTTTATTGTTGAATGTATTACAGATGTCCCCTCTTTTATCCCCATTGACCCCCTCCTCCCCAATCCCACCCCCCTCTAGCCTTTCCCACACCATTGTCGGTGTCCATTGGTTATGTACATATGCATAGGAGTTCTTTGGTTTATCTCATCACGCCCTCCCTCCCCCCTTCCCGTTGAGGTTCATCAGTCTAACAACCAATTTGCACTTCTTAATTCCTTCATTTTTTTCACCCATCCCCCCAGCCACACCCATCTGGCAAGCAACAAAAAGTTCTCAGTGTCTATGAGTCTGTTTCTGTTCTGCTTGCTCATTTTCTTTGTAGATTCAATTGTTGATAGATATGTATTAATTGCCATTTTATTGTCCATATTTTTGTTCTTCTCCTTCAAGAAGATCCTTCAACATTTCATATAATAATGGTTTGGTGGTGATGAACTCCTTTAGCTTGTTCTTGTCTGGGAAACTCTTGATATGTCCATCGATTCTAAATGACAGCTTTGCAGGATAGAGTGGTCTTGGTTGTAGGTAGTTGCTTTTCATCACCTTGAATATTTCTTGCCACTCCCTTCTGGCCTGCAAAGTTTCTTTTGAGAAATCAGCTGACAGTCTTATGGCAGCTCCTTTGTAGGTAACTAACTGCTTTTCTCTTGCCGCTTTTAAGTTTCTCTCTTTGTCTTTAACATTTGGCATGTTGATGATGATGTGTCTTGGTGTGGTCCTCTTTAGGTTCATCTTGTTTGGGACTCTCTGTGCTTCCTGGACTTGTATGTCTGTTTCCTTCACCAAGTTAGGGAAGTTTTCTGTCATTATTGTTTCAAAAAGGTTTTCAATTTCTTGTTCTCGCTCTTCTCTTTCTGGCACCCCTCTGATGTAAATGTTGGCACACTTGAAGTTGTCCCAGAGGCTCCTTACACTATCCTCACTTTTTAAATTATTTTTTCTTTTTGCTATTCTGATTGCCTGGGTTTGTTTGTTTGTTTGTTTGTTTGTTTTTTGCTTCCTTATATTCCAAATTGATGGTTTGCTTTTTTGCTTTACCTACTCTACTATTGATTTCCTGTAAGTTATTCTTTATTTCAGTTAATGCATCCTTCATTTCTGACTGGTCCTTTTTTATGTTGTTGATGTTCTCACTAAGTTCCTTGGAGGTCTCCTTAAGTTCCTTGAAGGTCTCACTAAGTTCCTTGAATGTCTCAACAAATTCCTTGAGCAACTCATAACCTGTGTTTTGAACTCTATATCTGATTGATTGTTTATCTCCATTTTGTTTAATTCTTTTCCTGGAGTTTTGTTTTTTTCTTTCATTTGGGACGTGTTTCTTTGTCTCCTCATCTTGGCTGCTTCCCTGTGATTATTTCTATGTATTAGGTAGAGTTGCTATATCTCGTAGGCTTCGTAGGGTGGCCTATTGTGGTAGGTGTCCTGTAGAATCCAGTGGCACAGCCTCCCTGATCACCCCAGCTGGGCCCTCAAGATGCACCCCTCATGTGGACTCTACACCCTTTTGTTGTAATTGAGTCTTGATTGCTATTAGCATGTCAATGGGAGGGATTTACTCAGGCTGATCAGCTACAAGGACTAGCTGTGCCCACTGACCCCTGGCCCCTGACTACCTTGGAGGATCAGCTGTACAGGGCCCACCACACAGAGCAAGAGTTACTTCATCAGGGCTCTTGTACCCACTGAGTCCACTCATTGAGTGTGTCACTTGTGGAGGTGGTTGGGTAGTGGTGGTTCAATGTGGTCTAAAGCTATCCACTGGATGTGCTGGCTCTGGGACAAGGTCAGCCACTGCCTGTGTTCTACCCAGGGCCACCAGGCATAAGCTACAAAGTGATCTGCAGATGGCTGCTTCTAGTACCAGGCCTGGGGCCACTTAGCGAGAGGTATGGGGCTTGCTGAGACCAGATGCTGCTTGTCTGAGAGATTTTAGGAAACTCTGAAGCAGGATCCAAGACAGGCCAATCCTATGGTAAAGCCACTGGAAACAGAGTGGGTGGGCCTGAAAGGTGGGTGGGGCGGGGCCTCGGGGAATCACCAGGGCGGGACAAACAGTGTGAGCCAGGTTGCTGGAGTCCCAGATATGGCAGCATCTGCCAGCCCAGGGAAGGGCTCACCAAAGGAACAACAGCTTCCGCCAGCACGTCTGTCCCGGAGAAAGCCCCCTCTCCAGCCCTCGTCCGGAGGCCAGCATATTCATAGTGCTGGTACAATTGAAGGAGCACCAATTTGAGAATCACAAGTTCTGAATTTATATCTTTGCTTTTCTACTTATGGACTGTCTGCTTTGGGGTAAATTACTTAATCTCTCTGAGCATCAGGTGTCTCTTCTACCACTCAGTGCCATTGAAAAGATACTTAGAGATGATATATTTTTGGTTCTGTTTTTTAACTAAATCTCTAGTTACTATAAAGTTCTTTGATAGTCAACTATTTCCTACTAAATCTAAGGCCAGAAAATTGCACTTAATGAAAATGATTATTTTTCTTCTTTTAACAAAGGAATGGTTTTTAATAAAAGAAGGTCCTCACTTTAATTTAATGAAGGTAGTCATTGTTATTCCACTTTATTATTTTATTTTATTTTTGGTACATGCCCCTAGAAGAAAACAAACCCGGGACTCTCTGGTCCACAGGCCAACACTCCAACCGCTGAGCCAAACCGGCCAGGGCAGTTATTCTACTTTAAAATGTCTGATGTATCAATGCATTTGTAATAGAGTTTAAAATTTCATTTTAGAACAGAGGTTTCAGAAAATTTAAAACATATTACGCACTTTCATGTGATGCTTTTCCCATTAGATTCAAAGCACTTTAAGACCATCTCTTACCAACTTTCCGTGGATATTCCTAAAAAAGAAGAGATGCCCGAAGACAGGCTATTGGATTACGAACTAGACAAAAGAAACGTGTCCATCTCCTGCTGTGATTCTAGGACAGCGTGTGGAAGGGTAATTCGCTCGCACTTTTTTTTTAGTTGCTACTCTTTAGAAGTCAGTTCTACCTACAATTGTGAAGCTTCCCTGATGACTGTGGCAGCTGGTGCATGAGGCCTTCAACTCTGTCACAAAGAATTGGTGAAGACTTGGCCTTTTAACTTCCACCAGACCGTACAGCAATACTTCATATATGTTTCATGGGGGACTTAAAGCCTTTGCTCAAAGCCTTTTGACTTTAAAATGTGATCACTGGCCCTGGCCGGTTCGGCTCAGCGGTTAGAGCGTCGGCCTGCGGTCCAGAGAGACCCGGGTTCGGTTCCCGCTAAGGGCACAAACCGCTAAGGCATGTACCTCAGTTGCAGTTTGTCCCCAGCCCTGGTTGGGTCATGTGGGTGGCAGCCACTCGATGTGTCCCTTTCACGTCGATGTTTCTCTCTCTCTCTCTCCCACTCTGTCTGAATATAAATGTAAAAATATCCTCGGGTGAGGATGAAAAAAAAAAAGGAACATTTGGAACCCTTTGAAAACTAAAAAGAAAGGGGAAAAGTCACCAAAAGTCTCAACCACTACCCAAAATTCAATATTAATATTTCAACTTTTCTAGACCTGCAGAAGCCAATACAGCAGCAACTATTACATATGGCTAGATTTAAAATAATTAAAAGGAAATATAATTTAGAATATAATTCCATAGTCACACTAGCCACATGTCAAGTGTTAAATACCGTGTATAACTAATGGCTACCAAATTGCAGGGCGGATAAGGAACACTTTTTGGTCACCACAAGTTCTATGAGACAATACTATTCTAGACTTTTTTTATGCATAGGTTTTTGTTAACAATTTGTAATTATATTATATAGGTAATTTGTGCCTCTTTATAAACTCAATTATAAGAAAATATTTACCATGATACTGTGTAGTTTATATTACCATTATTTTAATATCTATGTGCTTTTTCATGTAGTTTATCTAACTATCCCCCTGTAATTGGGCACACAGGTTATTAACAACCTTTTGCTATACTAAAGAACATTGCTTTGAATATCTGTGTATATACACTTATTTCTTATGTAAGTTTAACTCCTCAGAATGGATTCCTAGCAATGAAATTACTGAAACCAGGTTTGCTTGTCCTGGGTGACATGGAGGGTCAGGGATGGCAGTGGACTGAGGTGCCCGACACAGCCAAATACAGACACCATCCGCAGGGAGATGACTCATCCTGCCCTCAAATTACTCCTATAAAGGTCTTTCAAGTTCAACTACCGGTACGCATGGAAGAGAATCAAGAACATAGGAAACAACACCACGATAGAAATTCCAGAGAGACATACCCAATAGGAAGAGACCTGCAAAGACTTTGGAAACAGAAGTAATCGAACTATTTTTATGAAAATAAAAGCTCGGCTCCAAGATATTTGGAAGGAACAGAAAACTATAAAGTGACATAACAGGTTTGAAAAGAAAAACTGAACTTACAGAGATGAAAACAAAACAAATGAAATTACCCCGGCCAGTGTGGCTCAGTGGTTGAGCATTGACCCTGCACCATAAGGTCGCCGGTTCAATTCCCGGTCAGGGCACATGCCCAGTGGAGGGCGTGCAGGAGGTGGCCCATCGATGTTCTCTCTCATCGATGTTTCCATCTGTCTCTTTTTCTCACTTCCTCTCTCTCTCAAATCAATAAAAGAAAAAATTTTTATTAAACAACTGAAATTAAAAACAAAAGAGAGTTGAAGCCCTGGCTGGTTTGGCTCAGCGGTTACAGCGTTGGCCCACAGACCAGAGAGACCTGGATTCGGTTCCCGCTAGGGGCATGAGCTTCGGTTGCAGTTTGTCCCCAGCCCCAGTTGGGGTCATGTGGGTAGCAACCAGTTGATGTGTCTCTCTCACATCGATGTTTCTCTCTCTCTCTTCCTCCCTCTCTCCCTCCCACTCTATCTGAAGATAAATGCAAAAAAATGTCCTCGAATGAGAATAAAAAAAGAGAGAGAGTTGAACACGGTTAGATCCAATTAAAGAGAGAACTAATGACCTGGAAAAAGTTTTTTTTAATTATCAAATCCATCATGGGGACAAAAAAAGGTAAGGAAAACAGAAGAGAGTGTGTGATGTGAAAATAAAATGAAGGGTCTAAAATGTATTCAAAATATATAATCAGGCAGAGGTAGTATTTAAAGAGATAATGGATAATTTCCCAGAAATGATAAAAGGGACTGATCCACAGATTTAAGAAGCCCAGTATATACCAAGCAAGATGATTTTTGTGTGTGTGTAAATCCTAGACACTTCACAGTGGCAAACACATAGGTTAACTTCAGACTCTGATCAATTAAGTTTGCTTGCTGAAATGTCTAGTGTAGACAGAAAAATAACAGAAGCAGAGTATAACTTCCCCGCTAGTAGATGTAGAACAAAACATAGAATAAATTATTTTAAATACCCCACAAAGACAAAAAAGGATAAGGGGAAAAAAAACAGGTGGCAAGGGACAAATAAAACACATCAAAAAATGTCAGCAATTATATTATATATAAATAGACGAAATACTCCAGTTAATAGACAATGTCAATTCTTTTAAAGAAGAAAAAATTTCAACCATATACTATTTATAAGAGACATGTCTAAAACCTAAGGATACAAAAAGATTAAATATAAGTAAAAATGATATAACATGAAAATACTAGAGCATCACTAGAGATACAGATCACTTAATGATGATAACAGTTTTAATCCACCACAAAGGTATAACATTATGAGATATTTTTCCATACGAACATAACATAGCCTCAAAGTATAGAAAAGAATATTTCATAGAAGTAAAAGAAAAAGTTTTCCAGTTCATAGCCATAATGAGCTCTTTAACCTACTTCTCTCATAATTGAGAGGACAACCAGACCAAAAGGAGCAGTAACGCAGTAGGATATTTGAACAACCCATTGAACAAATGTGTTCATGGAAAGGAAGATTAAATACTTTAAATAGAACATTTCTCCAAATTTCCTAATTCTAACAGGATGGTATGTTTGTGCATGTTGGGGAAAGGGAGGCTTTGACCAGTTGATTCTAAAATGTACATGGAAATATAAAGGGTCTGGAATAGCCAAGCATTCTTGAGAAGAAGGCCGGGCAGAGGGAAACATACTCTCCCAGATATTAAGATCTATTACAAAACATAGTAATTAAGACAGGGTAGTGTTAGGGCAGGATCAACAAAGAATAAAAAGTCCAGAAGCAGCCCAGGCGGTGTGGCTCAGTGGTTGAGTGTCGACCCTGCACCAAGAGGGCACATGCCCAGCTTGTGGGCCCGATCCCCAGTGTGGGGCATGCAGGAGGCGGCCAATCGATGTTCTCTCGCATCCATGTTTCTATCTCTCTCTCCCTCTCCCTTCCCCTCTCTCTAAAATCAATAATATATATATATATATATATATATATATATATATATATATCCTTTATACAAAGATTTTCTTTATATAGGAGGATAACTGTATTACCTCAGATCTGGGAAACATTTACTAATCGATAGAAGAAGCAGTATCCATCAAAGATCTGATAAATTAAAATTAAAGTTGTGGCCCTGGCCGGTGTGGCTCATTTGGTTGGGTGTCTCCCTTGCTGAAGGTTTGCTGGTTCAGTCCCCAGTACGGGGCACGCAGGAGGCATCGGATCAATGTTTCGCTTTCACATCAGTGTTTCTCTCCCTCTCCCTTCCTCTCTCTCTAAAAATCCATTTTAAAATCTTTTTTAAAAATTAGAGTTGTGAAGGACAAGCCAAGAAAGGGTAAGTATTTGCAGCTCATGGAACATACAAAGGGTTTATATCCTAAATGTAAAAAGACATGAAAGAAAAAGTCCACCAGATAGAAAATGGGCCAAAAATGTGCATACTTCTCAAAGGATAAATCCAAGTGACTTGCAAACGTATGTAAAGGAGCTCAGCCTCATTAGTAACCTGAAAAAGGAAACGAAAACCCGTTAGACATCAGTACGTGCCTGCGTGCCTTCATACTGTCAATAAAGAAAAAGAAGTGACGTCTGATAGGACTGTGTTGGAAGAGATGCACCAGCAACAATCGCTATCGTTTGCCTCTGGTGGGAATGTGAACTGGCCCAATTCGGAAATCACGTGGCATTGCCTGTAACCTGGAAGACAGGCACACCGTGGGGTTCGGCAAGTCCACCTCTGGGCGGGACGTCCGAGGGGAACTGGGCACCAGCAAGCATGCGTCAGGATGTCCGTGGTCTCAGACAGACGGACCTGATTGGACTACAGCTGCATACTGTGCGAACGTGGACCGAAAACAAAATATGCACAATGCATAATGTGTGGTTCCGTTAGTGTAAAATTCAGAACGGGAAAAATTAAACCCTATTGTTTAGAGGTGATGACAGTGCAGAGAAATCACGTGGCGATCAGACCAGCGGTCACGTCCAGGAAGGGCACTGGCTGGGCCGACGCACCGAGGGCTGTCAGCCCTGTTCTCCTTGACCTGGGGAGCGAGAACATGGGCCTGTACTTTCCAATCACTGATGAACAAAACAGCATGTTTTAGCAATGATCTGTGTTTCATATTTTTATAATTTTTCAAAGTGAAAATAAATGGCAACAGCCCTGGCCGGTTTTGCTCAGTGGTTACAGCATCAGCCCACAGGCCAATGAGCCGTGGGTTCAGTTCCCGCTAAGGGCACGTACCTTGGTTGCAGTTTGTCCCCGGCCCTGGTTGGGTGGTGTGGGTGGCAGCCACTCGATGTGGCTCTATCACACCGATGTTTCTCTCTGTCTCTCTCTCTCTCTCCCCCTCCTTCCCATTCTATGTGATGATAAATGGAAAAGAAGTATCCTCGGGTGAGGAATGTAAATACATACATACATACATACATACATACACACATACACACATACATACATACATAAATACATACATAAAATGGCAACATTTACATAAAAATACAGATTGTTTCACTGTTTAGCTCCAGGAATGAATTCTTGTATCCATGTTATCACAACTGAAGATTAGGAATAAATAGAACCAAATTGAATCTCTATGTTATTATGAAATACTTGGGGGGACAAATCATCTCCCTATCGAGTACTCCCTATAAAAGAGTTGAAGTTGGAGATGAAGAAGAGCTCCCTGTATGTCTTCCTTCTCCTTCCCACGATCCGCTAGTGTTTTGCTCAGAGGAACTTCAAGATCACCCTGAAGAGACACTAGATACTGTAGCTGCTGCTGGGATTTAAAGTCCATTTATTGAAGTATGATTTACATAGAGTAAAATTTACCTTTTCTGGATGTATGGCTCGATGCATTTTGAGTTATGTAACCACCACTACAATCAGGATATAGAATATTTTCATTGTCGTAGGGCTTGTTTTTATCTTCTGTTTTGTTTTCATAGTCACATGTGTGTAAAGTAAAACAAAACCCTTTCAAACAGGTAAGCAATGTCAGATTTTTGCCAGAAGGTTTTATCAAGTGATCTGCAGTGATTAGGGACAATCTTTTTCTTCTTTTTTTATCCTCACCCGAGGACACTTTTTTTGCATTTATCTTCAGATAGAGCAGGAGGGAGAGAGGGAGGAAGAGAGAAACATCGGCGTGAGAGAGACACATCGAGTGGCTGCCACCCACACGACCCAAACCGGGGACCAAGTCACGTGCCCCTAGTGGGAACCAAACCCGGGTCTCTCTGGTCCGCGGGCCGGCACTCGAACCGCTGAGCCAAACTGGCCAGGGCGGGGACAATCTTTAATTATTTCCAAGGCTTGTTCGCTGTCCCTGAGGCAGGGCCAGGAGTTTAAATTAGGAAATGGTTTGTATCGCTGTGTAGCAAGCCAAGGATGTCCGTGGTCATACCGAACGCATTCCATCTGGAAGAGTTCACAGTGTGTCCTTGTGTTTCCTGTGGTCACAGATGGTGAGGAATGAGTTCCTGGAGAAGCACTACAGACACGGGGGCAAGTTTCTGACTTCGTTTCCAGACGGGACAACGCAGATATTGTATCTTTTCTAGCAACGAGTTCCTTTTATTAGCTTTATTTCTTCACGGAAAGACAGATAAGGAAAAAATACATAGAAAAATATTTTTAAAATAGGTATTACCCCCAAATTCTACCACCCAAAGAAAAGCTGTTAACGTCTTTTCAGATATCATGTCTTTTTTCTATAAGCATATGATTTTTTAAAAAATCAGTTCTTCACCCGGCCGGTGGGGCTCAGTGGTTGAGTTTCGACCCTGCACCAAGAGGTCGCAGGTTCAATTCCCAGTCAGGGCACATGCCCAGGTTGTGGGCCCGATCCCCAGTGGGGGGCATGCGGGAGGCAGCCAATCAGTGTTCTCTCTCATCGATGTTTCTATTTCTCTCTCTCTCTCTCTCTCTAAAATCAATAAAAAAGAAAAAACTTTTTAAAATCAGCTCTTCAACTACTCATATAACTTGCCCCCTTTACATATATTATACGATAGATAATGTTATGAGTATATAATATGCAGTAAATAGAGAGAGAGAACACCATTTTATAACCACATGGGATTTCATTATAGAAATGTACTGTAATTTATTCAGCCTGTCTCCTATCACTAAACAAAGGAGGTTGCACAACTTTTGCTGTTATATACAACACTAAGTGAACAGCACTGTATGTGTCCCTGCGTACCTATCGCTTATTTCCTTGAATTAATACCTAGAGGTAGAAGTTAGGGGCATTTTAAAGCTTTGATAGGTTTTGCTCCCCAGAAAATGTGTAGCAGCATGTTATTTTTTTAATACAAAAATTCAATATCCATTTTATGGAACAGTAAGTATTAATCACAACTTCTGCCCGATGGTCAGGTCATTTGGTATTTTGACATAAAGGCTATTTAATATCTTGAGGATAGCAACAAACAAACAAACAAACAAAACCTATGAAATGGGGAGGACTTTTTGGTGAATCGGGGCTCACTTCGTAGGAGAAAGTCATTTTAGCTTAATTTCCTAAATGTTTAGTCAAAGCTCAACAATAAGCCAGAAAAATTATTTTCATGGCATCAGAAGAGTGATGAGGTTTAGTTCCCTAGACCCTATGAGAAAGAATATAGGTTTTGTTTTAATGGTACCAATAGATTTTAAATAACTTCCCCAACTTTAATTCTTCACTCTTGAAGACTGTGGCTGATCTTCGAAACGATTTAGTATCCATCTAATGTTTACTTCATCTCTGGATTTCTGGTCAGTTTAGATAGGACTAAGTATTAACAGGTAGTGAATTATCCTCGGCGTATTTGATTCCTTTTGATGCTATTATAAATGGAATTCTCGTCTTAATTTTACTTTCAGAACATTGACAGACAGAGTAATACAATTTATCCTTACATCCTGATCTTGGAGTCAGTGACCCTACTGAATGCGTTTGTTAGCTCTGCTATATTGTTTGGGGGTTCCTTAGGATTTTCCACATGTTAAGCATGTCTTCGGAAAATAGGGATTGTTTCATTTCTCCCATTTCCAACTGGACTGCCTCTCATTTCTTCTCTTTGACAAAACTTCCCCCTGACTCGAACCTCCAGTACAATGTTGAACAGAAGTGAGGAGAAGGGATATTTATTTTAGTGCTCGATCTTAAAGGGAAAACACTCCGTCTCTATTAGGTTTTCTTATTTGCCATTTATTCTATCCATGTAGCATATTTCACTAATTGATTTTCAAGTGTTAAACCAACCTTGCATTCCTGGGATAAACTCCATTTTGTCATGGTACATAATCATTAGCCGCTCGATGTGTCCCTTCACATCGATGTTTCTCTCTCTCTCTCTCCCTCCCACTCTATCTGAACAAAATATCCAAAAAAATGTCCTCGGGTGAGGATACATAATCATTTTGATATGATGCTAGATGCCACTTTCTAGCATTATGTTGAGGTATTTTGTGTCTCATGAATATATCTGATCCACATAAAAAATAACAGTTTAAAATAAAAGCAGTTGCTCCCATTTTCGGGATGCTTTGCGGTTTCAAAGAGCTCTCTCCTGAATGGCATTTATTCCCAGAGAAGCCAGGGACCACTAGGACATTGACCTTATCTGATCCCAGCTATCCATCGGGAAACCTAGCCATCATTCGCGTGCCCAACAAGGTCAGTGGCTTCACCTCCATAGTCCAAGAGGACGTGGCCGCCAGCCCTGCGATCCTGGCTGTGCTGGACTCTTCTGGCAGAAGTTCCTGTTATCATCCCAACGGAAATGTCTGGTAGGCTTCTAGTCCCTCCTGCTGCCCTGTGCTTGCGGGTTTGTGAAATTTTATTTTTCCTGTTATTTCTTCCAACTTTCTTGAGATATAAAGGACACACGATATTGTGTAAATTAAAGGCGTGCAACCGCATTGACTCGATACACTTAAAAATTGCAAAAGGAGCTCTAACTGGTGTTTCTCAGTGGTTCGAGCATCAGCCCCCACACTAAAGGTCACAGGTTTGATTCCAGGTCAGGGGCGTGCACCTGGGTTGCAGTGTTGATCCCCTGGCCCCAGACAAAATCGTGTGGGAGGCAACCAATCAATGTGTCTCTCTTACATCGGTGTTTCTCTCTCTTTCCCTCCCTCTCACTCTCTCTAAAAATCAATGGAAAAATACCCTCAGGTGAGGATTAACAACAAAAATTACAAAGTGATTACCACCATAGCATTAGCTAACACCTGTTTCACGCCACCTAATTACCTTCTTTTTGTGTTGAAAGCACTCAGTTATACTTTTACCAGCTTTCACATATATAACACAGTATGATTAAGTGTAATTACTATGCTGTACATTAGGTCCCCAGAACTTATTCATCTAATAACCAGAAGTTTTACTTTTTCTTTCAAATGATAAAAATGGCTTTAAGAAAATTTAAGTAATGGTCTTTAGAGTATAATGTTCAACTCAAAGAACTATTGGAGCTATGCCTTACCATCTGCTTCTCAGTGGGAAAATCCTGGGAAACTTTGTAAAACAAAGCTCATTATATTCCTTTTTTTCTTTTTCTTTTTTCTTCTTTTTGTTCGCTTCTTTCTTTTTTTCTAATGTATTTTTCTTTTTAAAATGTTTTTATTTTTCTTTTGTTTTTTTTGTTTTCTTTTTTCATCATATTCTTTCTATAAACAAGAAAAGGTGAAGTATAGAATTTCAATATTATAAAAATCTCTATATAAATCATATGGTCACCCTACGGATTTTGCATATGAACTCACACAGTGTCCCTAGAGCTTTGCCCTGATAATGTCATACTGTCTCACCTACAGAAGTGATTTACAGTGGACAGGTGCTGCACTGTCTCGTGACTGTCTGAGATATGTTTCTAACTAGTAAGCTTCCGATAGCCACAACCAACAACAATGTCATACAAACACAATCTCTAGAGAAATTAAGATCTTGATCCCATTTTGACCTATTAACTTAAGCACTCTGACTTCCTATCATTTCATTTCACCTGCGCAAGTGAGATTTCGGTTCTAACTTTAAATACAGTGTACACTGTTTGAGCTTTTCAGAAAGAGATATTCTCTTCCTTTAAGTTATTTAAAGGCATGGCAGTCTCATCTTGAGAAGTTCTGCCAATAATTGACCAGGTTTGAACACGGTCAGAACTTGAGAGAGTTAGGGCACAGAAAGCTATTTGTGTTTTTAGTCCAAAGCAGTAGTCAACCCATTACCCCCAGGTATGTTGGAGAATTTCTGCTTCTCCTTCAGGGTTCAATAGCAGCTCTATATTATGTCTGGTGGCGCACTATATTAATTGTCACCGGATATTCATTCATTTCTAGGACTTTACCCTTGCCAGTGAAGCCCTCTGACCCACCAACTGAACCCCTGGGCCCTCTGGCCTGAGTCCTTGACCCCTCCTAAACCCCTCTAGCTGCCTCTGATGAAGGAAGCCATCTCCCCTGGTGGACTGCAGACCCTTGAAGGCACGCCCTGGCTTCTTGCCGCTTCATAGCACGTGTCTGCACGTGGTATAGACTCAGAATGTTTCTTAAATAAATGATTTATCTAGACAATTGTGTGTACCACTTGCTAGACACAATAAGACAATCACCCCCATGTCTCATCTGTGCATTTGCCATTCGATTACTGCCACTAATTAACAAGATGTCAGTCATTTTACATAGGGGCCCTCATGGCCAGTTCATCTCGTTTTTTAAAAATACTTCATTATCAAAGCAAGCCAACTTTCTAAGTACCCAGAACTCCACCTATTCTGCCTCCTCAAGAAAGGGATGGCGATCCCAGCTGGACGAAGGCGAGGGAGTGTGAGAAAGACACAACGGAGCAGGATGGACGTCATTAATGCCACCAGCTTTCAGACTCGAGGGCTACAGCTGTCTGTGTGTAGTACAATGCGGCACTGGCGACACCAAGAGGCCGGGGAGCCCGCCGGCCTCAGGTGCACCCGTGGCTCTGTCACAGCACAGAGAGGCCGGAGCCTGCCACAGCCCGCCCTGCAGGGGGCCTCCTGGGACCCTGGCTCCCAGTGCCAGAGTCCGGGAGAACAGCCCTCGGTACTGAGGTCGGACTGGCCCTCCCCAGAAGCACACTCCCTGGCCTTCGTTTGGCGCTGGGACGACCTCAGCTGTCTCCTCCTGTCCCAGGCACAGCCTGCTCTCTGCTGCTGCTTGTCCAGATCAAACCTCCCCGCGTCATCCTTGTCCCCCACAACACAGCCTTTTCCAGACCCTTTACCATCCTGGCTCCATCACAGGCCCTTCCGGTGCACCAACGGGTCTTGACTCAAACCCGGTGCTTGGGATCAGTGTGGAAGTCGGTGAGCCGCATCACTCCTGGGCCCACCGGGGCTTCCCGTCGCGCGTAGCAGCCTCGCCCCCTCGGTCAGCGCATTCGGAGGCGCAGGGCACCCTTCTGACGTGGCTGTTGATCTCCTTTGTGCTCAGGGTGTACATCAATGTCTTGGGAGGCCAGTATTCAGATCAAGCCGGCAACAGAGTGAGGGCCTGGACCTGGTCGAGTTCCGTTGCCTCCTCGCCCTTTGTATCCTTTAAGCCCGTCTTCCTGGCCCTGAACCACTCGGTTGGCGTCCGCATCCTGGAGCAAGACAAGATCTCCATCACCTTCCTGGCAATGGGCCGGCAGGCGAGAATCAGCGTCGGAACCAAAGTGAAGGTAGGTGCGGTCTTCAGGACCAGTCGGGGCACTGACACTAGCGACAGTGAAGTAAGTTCTGTCGCCGTCATGACGGGTCGATTATGCTCGTGTGGAACCGACTGTCCACTAAGAACCTTGGAATGCGATGGAAAACGCGTAGGGCAGTTTCTTAGGGAGCTGGGGGGTCTTGTTCGTGGTTCCTTCACCCTCCGCAGAGGCTTGGAGTGCAGACGGGGATCCGAGCAGCTAAGTTTAGGGAGTGTTCCCGCTGTGAGTGCGCGGGGCTGCTTGGGGTTTGCTTAGGATCGTGTTCGGCCCTCTGCGCTCCGCCAGAAAGCCCTGAGCTGGGTCAGGGGGCCTCGGTTCCAACCACGTTCAAGACCAAGCACAAGCCCATCTTCTGGGAGACGCGTGCAGAGCACGGCCCTTGGCCCAGGGAGGGTCAGTCTGTCCTTCTGTGGGCTGCCCACGTGCTCCCGTCCCTGCGCTGCCCGGCTCTGGACCAGGCTCTTCCATTGTCCTCACGGCTGCCCTTCCTGCTGCACGGGGTACCCCTGAGTTAGATTCCCGACCTGGCTGCTTCGTGTCCGTGCAGGGCGGGGCCCAGAGCGCACCCTCAGTAAGTGGCAACGCTGTGCAATGCTTAGGAACACGGGCTCCAAGCCCCGGCTGGTTTGGCTCAGCGGTGAGAGCGTCGGCCCTCGGACCAAGGTGTCGTGGGTTCGATTCCTCGTCAAGGGCATGTACCTGGGTTGCAGGTTCCATCCCCGTCCCCAGGGTCTGGGTCGTGCAGGAGGCCACCAATCGATGTGTCTCTCTCACATCAATGTTTCTCTCCCCCCCTCCCGCCCTCCCTTCCACTATCTACAAATCAGTGGGAAAATATCCTCAGGTGAGGATTAACAAACAAACCAAAAAATGTCATAAAAGAAAAAAAAAAAAAAGAACACGGACCTCAGGCTGCCGAGGGCGTTGCTGCAGACCTGCGCTCTGCCGTCTGCTGAGTGTGAACTTGGCGCAGCCCGGGGAGGCCCCAGCCTGCAGATCTGCCCTGGCCAGTGGTGGGCAGGGGGCTGAGGAGAGAGGCACCGCTCCGGCCTGGCAAGTCGCAGACTGCATTCAGGCAAACTTACACGCGAGGGCGCCGTGGGCATGGAGCGGGCCTCATCCCCCACGCCGCGCCACAGGCCCAGGAATCCTACAGAACAAGGCAGGGTGGGTAAGGGCGCTGGGCGTGACCCTCCCGGGAAAGTGCCGGTCAGGCCGAGGGCGTCCCGGGAGCAGCGCACCGTGGGGCGAAGGCAGGGACGCCGTGATGTCTGAGGACTTGGCAGGACGCAGTCTCTGTCCCAGCCCAGGTCCAGCTCACCGGTCCGGCAGCAGCCATGTCATGAGGTCGTCTGTCCTCCACACCTCATCTGTAAAATGGGACAATGGCTCCTCTCTTACAGACTGTTGTGAAGACTGGTGACAAGGCACCGTGCCTGGGGCTCGGCCTTGGCCCAGGGCTCTGGGTGGGAGCGCGAGACAGATGGAGAGAGCTGTGTGTATCTGTGTGTCGCAGTTATAGTGTGTGACTGTGGACAGTCCCTTAAACTCGGACCTTTGTTTCATCGTTATTTTTTTATTATTATTCTTTTTTCTTTGTTGATTTTAGAGAGAGAGGGAGAGGGAGAGAGAGAGAGACAGAAACATCGATGAGAGAGAACATTGACTGGCCGCCTCCTGCACGCCCCCCACTGGGGATCAGGCCCACAACCTGGGCATGTGCCCTGCCCGGGAATCGAACCGGCGACCTCTTGGTGCAGGGTCGACGCTCAACCCCTGAGCCACACCTGCCGGGCTGTTTCATCACGTATTAAAGGAAGAGATTGATTCAAACTTCAGAGGTGTCTTCAGCCTCTAAAACAATTTGTACTTTTGATTAAGTGGAAGTTTGACCTCAGCACAGGCAGGACTGTCCCATAAACACAAACAACGGTGAGAGGCAGAAGCAGCCGACAGGCCGTGAGGCCGCAGGTCTTCTCGCGGTTGTCCTTGTCCGTCAGTCTGGCTGCCGCAGCCAGCTGTCCGGGCCCCAGAGACAGAACTGCGCAGCTGGCCTCCTTCGGGTGCGTTATGTTCAGGTGAGTGCAATCTCACCAAAAAGGCGAAATGCGCTCTCTTTCCCTTTCCTCCTTAGAAATGAATGTTAAGCAGAAAACCGTCACTTTGATCCAAAAGAAAGAATTTGGTGTTCAAGTTTTCACTTTTGTCATTGTCCTCATGATTACCCTTTCTTGGGATTTAAAAAAAAAAAATACAAAAGGAACATGTGAATACATTCTCATATTTGAAGATTCAAATAATAGAAAAATAGACAAAATTTAAAAATGAGATTTCCACCCGGCCGGTGTGGCTCACTGGTTGAACGTTGACCCTGCACCAAGAGGTCGCCAGTTCGATTCCCGGTCAGGACACATGCCCAGGTTGTGGGCCCATTTCCCAGTGGGGGGCGTGCAGGAGGCGGCCAATCAGCGATCTCTCTCATCGATGTTCCTCTCTCTCTCTCTCTAAAATCAATAAAGAAAAAAACTTTTTTAAATGAGATTTTCCCCTTTATTCTTTCTTCTATTCTAATCCCTTTCCCAAAGGTACCACCGCCCAAACTTTGGTGTGTATTTCTCTTTTCTACGTATTTATAAATTATTTACATATATCATTTAAACATAAATATTGGATTATACTATACAGATTATATTGTTAGGGAGTTCTATTTATTTTTGTTTTCCAATGAACAGGTATTAAAGGTTTTTCCATGTCTGTATTTCTCAGTATATTTATCTACTTTATTTTTAATTGCTATATAATATTTTATATGTAGCCCTGGCCGATTTGGCTCAGAGGTTAGAACATCAGCCCAAGGACCAAAGAGTCATGGGTTCGATTCTGGTCAAGGGCCTGTACCTGGGTTGTGGTTCAGTCCCTGGCCCTGGTTGGGGTTGTGCAGGACGCAGCCAGTCTATGTGTCTCTCTCATGTCAATGTTTCTCTCTCTCTCTCTCTGTCTCCTACTCTATCTGAAGATAAATGGAAAAATGTCCTCGGGTGAGGATTAACAATAATAATAAGCCCTGGCTGGTTTGGCTCAGCGGTTAGAGCGTTGGCCTGCGGTCCAGAGAGACCTGGGTTCAGTTCCCGCTAAGGGCGTGTACCTCGGTTGCAGTTTGTCCCCGGCCCTGGTTGGTTGTGCGGGTGGCAGCCACTCGATGTGTCCCTTTCACGTCGATGTTTCTCTCTCTCTCTCTCTCTCTCTCCCTCCCACTCCAAAAAATGGAAAAATGTCCTCAGGTGAGGATAAAATAAATAAATAAATAAATATCCTCAAATGAGGATAAAAAATTATAATGATAATAATAATACTGCATATGGACGTAGCTAATTTATGCTCAATCTATTGACCTCTCAGCAGCTCACACAGTTGCTCCCTCTTCCTCCATTGCTTCCGGGTCACTAGTTTCCCTTGATTTTGCTTCTTTTTCATTTTTCTTGGCTGATTTTCTTCTGCTCTGTTCCCCCAAATATTGAGGGCTTGTCGCTGGCTCCTCGTTTCTCAGGGCTGTCCTCACACACCAGGTGTCCTCACTGAGGCCACGGGCCCTACACGTGTCACGTGCTCCTGGCCCCTACACGTGTCACGTGCTCCTGGCCCTACACGTGTCACGTGCTGCCAGCCTTACATGTGTCACGTGCTCCTGGCCCCAACACGTGTCACGTGCTGCCAGCCCTACACGTGTCACGTGCTCCTGGCCCCTACACGTGTCACGTGCTGCCAGCCTTACACGTGTCACGTGCTCCTGGCCCCACACGTGTCATGTGCTGCCAGCCTTACACGTGTCACGTGCCGCTGCCCTTTTATCTCCAGGGCATCTCCCACGAGCTCCAGACTGGCAAACCTGACTCCAGCCCCGCACCTCCGTTTGGGTGCCTAGAACATTCGACACTCGGCGTAGCACGGCTCGATTTGAACGCTGCTCCACCCTGCCCCTCTGTCTCTGAAACTGGCACAGCCTTCCTTCAGGTGCCCGGCCAAAGGCTCTGACCTAGTCCTCCTCCTGTGTCTCAGCGCGGCATCTGTCATCTGCGAGTCCTGTACACCTGTCTCCAGACTCCGGGACTTCCCACGTCATCCAACACTATCACTCTTGTCTGCCTCTTGTGCTTTGTTTTCATTCTTCACCCCAGGATACTTTTCTATTCATCATCAGATAGAGGGAGAGGGAGGAAGGGAGGGAGAGAGAGAGATGTGATAGAGCCACATCGACTGGCTGCCCCCGCAGGACCCGACCGGGGCCGAGGACGAACTGCAACCGAGGTGCGTGCCCTCGACCAGAATCGAACCTGAGACTCATGGGTCCGCAGGCCGACCATCTAACAGCTGAGCCAAACCCGCTGGGTTGCCTTGTTTCTAGTCCGTCTCTTGTGTGGATGATTCTGGCAGCCTCCTAACGAGCTTCCCTGCTTCTGGCCCTCAAGTCTACTCCAACAGAACAGCTGGAGTGATACTTTGAAAACATAAGCTTGGTCGAAACTATCCAGTGGCTTCTGATCTTACTGAGTAAGCCAAGGTCCTGTAACAGACCTGCAGTGCTGTCCCTGACCCGACTTCCTACCTCAACATGCCTCTGCTCACTCGCCCTGCTCATTTCTGCTGTCCCCGGACAACGCCTGGCGTGTCCCTGCCACAGGGCTTTTGCACATGCTATTCCTTCCACCTAAAAGGTTCCTCCCACATTTAGCACATGCTGCTGCCTCACTCCATCCAGGCTTCTGCTCAGAGCCCGTTCCTGACCACCCTGTAAACCACCACCCACCCCACCCACCCCACCCACCCCACCCCGGCTCTCTGAGTGCCTCTTGGGCCCTGTGCCACAAGGGTTAGTACGAGTGCTCTCATTTTCTTTCGTTTCTAAATAATTTATGATGGCTCTTTTGACTAGTTCAATGCAGTAGCTAAAGTGACCATCCCTTTCTTGTTGACTTCTAGTCAAGGAACATGGTTTGCATTTTTTCCTGCTGCTTAATATGCACTATTTTCTTTGTGGTTGGTTGTGTGATGTTTATGCAAAGTATATCTGACACCCCCCCCCCCCAGTGCAGTTTGGCACAAAATTGTACACGGCTAATTGTCACACTCCCATTTCTTTTCTTTCTATATTGCTGGCTTATTTCTGATAAATGTATGAGTCTCCCAATGTTATTGTGAATTTGGCTACTTTTCCCACTCTTCCTACCAAATTTTTCCTTATGTCCTGGAAACTCTGTGGTTAGGACATCGAAGGTGCTGACCGCCTCCCTGGCGAGAGGCAGCCTCACCCGGTGCCGGCTTCCGCCTCTCGTGTTGGCTCTTCGGCTGGGCCCGCCGTGTGACTCGGCGTGTCCGTGAGGGGCTTTGGTAGGGATTTTTTTATTTATTTATTGATATTAGAGGGCGAGGAAGGGAGAGATGGAAACATCGATGAGAGAGAACACCGATTGGCCGCCTCCTGCACGCCCCCCACTGGGGATCAGCCCACAACCTGGGCATGTGCCCTGACCGGGAATCGAACCGGCGACCTCTTGGTGCAGGGTCGACACTCAACCGAGCCACATCGGCCGGCAGTAGGGGCTTTTTTGACAAAACTGTTCCATCGGCGGGTGTTATCCGCTCCTCCTTCGTGGTCTTTGGTGAGAGGCCAGCCCGGCTGATGTGAGTTTGCCGCCCTTCCCTCAGATCCCACCTGCCTGGGGCGTTGTCCTCACCCCCCGATCTCCAGACTTTCCGTCGTTTCGAGGTGGGTGTGTCTCTGGTAAACGGCAGAGAGATGGATGTTGCTTTCCTCAGCCTAACAGAGTCAATCTTTCAATATGTCCTATTTCAAAGGCTGCTCTGAAACCGTGAACTGTTCTTCTCTGGGTGTAGAATTAACCTCCGGGCCCTCGAATTCTCTCTTCCTTGACACCACCTCTCAGATCCTTCAGAAATACTCGCTCTGCACATTCCAGGCTTCCTCTGGCTCCTGGTCCTGGTCCCTTGACTGCGAGCATCTGACAGGCAAACCGCCGCCTGTCGCGGCTCACACGTCCTCAGTGCTCGGTGTTTCTTGGTGTGTCCATTGTTGTGTCCATTGTGGTGTGTCCATTGTTGTGTGAGAAGCCCCACTTCCTCCTGACGTTCGCTTCTGATAAGGGAGGAGTCATCTGCGCTGTGAGGTCGAAGTCCAGCCCAGTGCCAGCCCCCCCCGGGGCTCAGCAGAGGGAGGACAAGGGTGCCAGCCCCCCCCCGCCGGGGCTCAGCAGAGGGAGGACAAGGGTGCCAGCCCCCCCCCCCGGGGCTCAGCAGAGGGAGGACAAGGGTGCCAGCCCCCCCCCCGGGCTCAGCAGAGGGAGGACAAGGGTGCCAGCCCCCCCCCCGGGGCTCAGCAGAGGGAGGACAAGGGTGCCAGCCCCCCCCCGGGGCTCAGCAGAGGGAGGACAAGGGTGCCAGCCCCCCCCCGGGGCTCAGCAGAGGGAGGACAAGGGTGCCAGCCCCCCCCCCGGCTCAGCAGGGGGAGGACAGGGTGCCAGCCCCCCCCCGGGGCTCAGCAGGGGGAGGACAAGGGTGCCAGCCCCCCCCCCGGGCTCAGCAGGGGGAGGACAAGGGTGCCAGCCCCCCCCCCGGGCTCAGCAGGGGGAGGACAAGGGTGCCAGCCCCCCCCCCGGGGCTCAGCAGGGGGAGGACAAGGGTGCCAGCCCCCCCCCCCGGGCTCAGCAGGGGGAGGACAAGGGTGCCAGCCCCCCCCCCGGGCTCAGCAGGGGGAGGACAAGGGTGCCAGCCCCCCCCCCCGGGCTCAGCAGAGGGAGGATAAGGGTGCCAGCCCCCCCCCGGGGCTCAGCAGGGGGAGGACAAGGGTGCCACCCCCCCCCTGGGCTCAGCAGTGGGAGGACAAGGGTGCCAGCCCCCCCCCCCCGGGGCTCAGCAGAGGGAGGACAAGGGTGCCAGCCCCCCCCCCAGGGCTCAGCAGAGGGGAGGACAAGGGTGCCAGGCCCCCCGGCTCAGCAGGGGGAGGACAAGGGTGCCAGCCCCCCCCCCCGGGCTCAGCAGGGGGAGGACAAGGGTGCCAGCCCCCCCCCCCCCGGGCTCAGCAGAGGGAGGATAAGGGTGCCAGCCCCCCCCCCCGGGGCTCAGCAGGGGGAGGACAAGGGTGCCAGCCCCCCCCCCCGGGCTCAGCAGAGGGAGGACAAGGGTGCCAGCCCCCCCCCCGGGGCTCAGCAGAGGGAGGACAAGGGTGCCAGCCCCCCCCCCCCGGGCTCAGCAGAGGGAGGACAAGGGTGCCAGGCCCCCCGGCTCAGCAGGGGGAGGACAAGGGTACCAGCCCCCCCCCCCGGCTCAGCAGAGGGAGGACAAGGGTGCCAGCCCCCCCCCGGCTCAGCAGGGGGAGGACAAGGGTACCCCCACTTTCCGTCCTCGCTCACCTCAGGCCCCCCTGCCTCTCATTTCTGTTGGCTCGGAGCGGAGAATGTCTGGTCACTTACCGCTGGATGTTTAGGAGTTCGAGTTCCCTAAGATTATTTCTGCTGACGGGAGTTTCACCCATTTCTCAGACCCATCATCAGCGTCTTCTCTGAAAAGCCCCGTCCCGGCATGACGTGCGGGTTGAGATGCGGATCCATTCTCGGTCCTCACCCACCTCCTTCCTCCTCGTCCGTGGGGCAGGGACGGAGAGTCCTTGTGGCCACTCAGCTGGCAGAGGGATGTTCAGCTTGCTCAACTGCCCCCAGTGCCCGCCCCGGGTGGTCCGGGAGCTGACCCCTACTGTCTGTGCGGCCTGGGAGGGCCAGGCCAGGAGGGGCGGGAGGTGGGTGTGGAAACCTCCATGCCAGGAGGAAAAGGCCGTCATCCCCGCCCTCTGCACGCCCAGCTCAGTGTCCCCTGAGGATGGCTGCCCGGCTGCCCGCAGCCGGCCAGTGCTCGGGGCTCCCCACGGGGGCCGGGGAAGGAGCTGTGCGCGGCCCGGGTGCTCCCCTCCTACGTGCTGCCCAAGACTACAGGAAACCGGCAGCATCTGAAGGGGCTCAGCCTGGGCTTGCTGCCCTGCTGGCCGTCCAGGTGTCCAGGGCCCGTCCAGTCGGGCTCGGGGGAACCCAACCCCCTGAGCGCCTGCGCGCCCCGCCCAGCACCAGGCCCGCCCCTCAGCCCCTCCCTCTCTCTCTCTCTCTGTAAAGCTGAGCAACCAGGAGGCGCTGCCGGGGCCCCGCTCCCTGCGCGGGGACGACCTGTTTCTGCTGGCCAGCTTGATCAGGATCCGCCGCCTGCTGCACAAGCTGGAAGGACACGCCCTGCTCCCCTCGGGCCAGGCCTGGGAGAAGTTAGGGCAGCCCTCCTACCTGTCTTCCCTGGCCGTGAAGCTCATGGCCCTGTGCCGCAGCTCCGGGGCCAGAGGGGACACCGTCACGACAATAGCAGCCATGATAAATGAAAAAATCTAACCACGAATGCTGCTGCTCTCGTTGGTTTCACTGGTGTTTTTTAGGGGGTGTGTGGGAGACTGCAAGAAAAGTGTGTAAAATAACGGGAAAGACCAAGAAATGTGCTGTGGTACACACTTAGGACACATCATGCATAAATACATGGAACACATTTATGTCTTCCCTCCCTCAACTCAATAAATAAAATTAAAAAATTTTTCTGAGCCCTGGTTAGACTCTAACCATTAGAGCATCGGCCACGGACCGGAGTCCCGGGTTCGGTTCCCGCTAAGGGCATGTACGTTGGTTGCAGTTTGTCCCCGGCCCGGTTGGGGTCATGTGGGTGGCAGCCAGTCGATGTGTCTCTCTCACATCCATGTTTCTTTCTCTCGTACCCCTTTCTCCCTCCTGCTCTATCTGAAGATAAATGCAAAAATATCCTCCGGTGAGGATTTTAAAAAATTTATTTTTCTGAGAAAGGAAAAAGGTGAAGAATCACAGCCCATGGTGAGGTCCCCTTGAGACTCCACAGAGAACAGCTAGTGCGTCAGCCATGCTGACTGGGCCGGCCGAGGACCCCGTGGATCAAGCAGCCCAGCAGAGGCCTGGCAGGATCTCAGGTCTCAGCAAAGGGAGGTGTCTGGGGCCCACTCACACCTGCACTGACACTGAGTTCTTATTCTGTCCACGAAGGTGAGCATTTTCATTTCTATCATACAAGTTCCCTGGGGATGAATAAAAAAGAGGGATCCCCTGAGTGACCACCTAGGCTCAGTGTCCTTCCTGAATCAACACTCTCAGGACACACGAGCATCATTCCTGGACATTAAAGCCAGATTCTATCCTGGGCTGGGCAGCCAAGGGCAAAGATGATTTCTCAGAAACGCAAGAAAGAAGAGTCACATGAAACCACTGGGCACTTTAATTACAGTGAATTCACTGTATCCTTAGCCAACGAGCAGAAAACAGAACGAGAGGAATGTAAAAGGCACCCAAGGGCTAAAAGCTGAACTGTAAACACAAGACTTGCGATTGAAGGAGGATGACCCTAAAGGGGTGTACTTTTCGGCATGCCACCGGCCCGGACGGACATCCCGGCACGCCACCGGCCCGGACGGACATTTCGGCCCGGACGGACATTCCGGCACGCCACCGGCCCGGACGGACATTTCGGCCCGGACGGACATTCCGGCACGCCACCGGCCCGGACGGACATTTCGGCACGCCACCGGCCCGGACGGACATTTCGGCACGCCACCGGCCCGGACGGACATTTCGGCACGCCACGGGGCCGTGAGCTCAAAAGAAAAAGCCTCCAGAACACAGCCTGTGACCACAAAAGCCGACACTGGTTTTAAGGGAATAAATTGCTTTGGATGTTTGTAAAAGGTCAGCGGTGTCTGAGGAGTGAGGTGGGAGGACGGTCCCCGAGGAAGGAGGTGGAGGACGGCCCCCGAGGAGTGAGGTGGAGGACGGCCCCCGAGGAAGGAGGTGGAGGACGGCCCCCGAGGAAGGAGGTGGAGGACGGCCCCCGAGGAGTGAGGTGGAGGAACGGCCCCCGAGGAGGAGGTGGAGGACGGCCCCCGAGGAAGGAGGTGGAGGACGGCCCCGAGGAAGGAGGTGGAGGACGGCCCCCGAGGAAGGAGGTGGAGGACGGCCCCCGAGGAAGGGGGTGGAGGACGGCCCCCGAGGAAAGGGGAGTGGAGGACGGCCCCCGAGGAAGGGGGTGGAGGACGGCCCCCGAGGAAGGGGGTGGAGGACGGCCCCCGAGGAAGGGGGTGGGAGGACGGCCCCCGAGGAAGGGGGTGGAGGAGGCCCCCGAGGAAGGGGAGGGTGGAGGACGGCCCCCGAGGAAGGAGTGTGGAGGACGGCCCCCCGAGGAAGGGGTGGAGGACGGCCCCCGAGGAAGGGGGTGGAGGACGGCCCCCGAGGAAGGAGGTGGAGGACGGCCCCCGAGGAAGGGGGTGGAGGACGGCCCCCGAGGAAGGGGGTGGAGGACGGCCCCCGAGGAAGGGGGTGGAGGACGGCCCCCGAGGAAGGGGGTGGAGGACGGCCCCCGAGGAAGGGGGTGGAGGACGGCCCCCGAGGAAGGGGGGTTGGAGGACGGCCCCCGAGGAAGGGAGGTGGAGGACGGCCCCCCGAGGAAGGAGGTGGGAGGACGGCCCCCGAGGAAGGAGGTGGGAGGACGGCCCCCGAGGAAGGAGGTGGGAGGACGGCCCCCGAGGAAGGAGGTGGGAGGACGGCCCCCGAGGAAGGAGGTGGGAGGACGGCCCCCGAGGAAGGAGGTGGAGGACGGCCCCGAGGAAGGAGGTGGGAGGACGGCCCCCGAGGAGGGGAGGTGGAGGACGGCCCCCGAGGAGGGAGGTGGAGGACGGCCCCCGAGGAAGGAGGTGGGAGGACGGCCCCCGAGGAAGGAGGTGGGAGGACGGCCCCCGAGGAAGGAGGTGGAGGACGGCCCCCGAGGAAGGAGGTGGGAGGACGGCCCCCGAGGAAGGAGGTGGAGGACGGTCCCCGAGGAAGGAGGTGGAGGACGGCCCCCGAGGAAGGAGGTGGAGGACGGTCCCCGAGGAAGGAGGTGGAGGACGGTCCCCGAGGAAGGAGGTGGGAGGACGGCCCCCGAGGAAGGAGGTGGGAGGACGGCCCCCGAGGAAGGAGGTGGAGGACGGCCCCCGAGGAGTGAGGTGGAGGACGGCCCCCGAGGAAGGAGGTGGAGGACGGCCCCCGAGGAAGGAGGTGGAGGACGGCCCCCGAGGAAGGAGGTGGAGGACGGCCCCCGAGGAGTGAGGTGGAGGACGGCGCCCGAGGAGTGAGGTGGAGGACGGCGCCCGAGGAGTGAGGTGGAGGACGGCCCCCGAGGAAGGAGGTGGAGGACGGTCCCCGAGGAGTGAGGTGGAGGACGGCCCCCGAGGAAGGAGGTGGAGGACGGCCCCCGAGGAGTGAGGTGGAGGACGGCCCCCCGAGGAAGGAGGTGGAGGACGGCCCCCGAGGAGTGAGGTGGAGGACGGCCCCCGAGGAAGGAGGTGGAGGACGGCCCCGAGGAAGGAGGTGGAGGACGGTCCCCGAGGAGTGAGGTGGAGGACGGCCCCCGAGGAAGGAGGTGGAGGACGGCCCCCGAGGAGTGAGGTGGAGGACGGCCCCCGAGGAAGGAGGTGGAGGACGGCCCCCGAGGAGTGAGGTGGAGGACGGCCCCCGAGGAAGGAGGTGGAGGACGGCCCCCGAGGAAGGAGGTGGAGGACGGCCCCCGAGGAAGGAGGTGGAGGACGGCCCCCGAGGAAGGAGGTGGAGGACGGCCCCCGAGGAAGGAGGTGGAGGACGGCCCCCGAGGAGTGAGGTGGAGGACGGCCCCCGAGGAGTGAGGTGGAGGACGGCCCCCGAGGAAGGAGGTGGAGGACGGCCCCCGAGGAAGGAGGTGGAGGACGGCCCCCGAGGAGGGAGGTGGAGGACGGCCCCCGAGGAAGGAGGTGGAGGACGGCCCCCGAGGAGTGAGGTGGAGGACGGCCCCCGAGGAAGGAGGTGGAGGACGGCCCCCGAGGAAGGAGGTGGAGGACGGCCCCCGAGGAGTGAGGTGGAGGACGGCCCCCGAGGAGTGAGGTGGAGGACGGCGCCCGAGGAGTGAGGTGGAGGACGGCCCCCGAGGAAGGAGGTGGAGGACGGCCCCCGAGGAAGGAGGTGGAGGACGGCCCCCGAGGAAGGAGGTGGAGGACGGCCCCCGAGGAAGGAGGTGGAGGACGGCCCCCGAGGAAGGAGGTGGAGGACGGCCCCGAGGAGTGAGGTGGAGGACGGCCCCCGAGGAAGGAGGTGGAGGACGGCCCCCGAGGACGGAGGTGGAGGACGGCCCCCGAGGAGTGAGGTGGAGGACGGCGCCCGAGGAGTGAGGTGGAGGACGGCCCCGAGGAAGGAGGTGGAGGACGGCCCCCGAGGAAGGAGGTGGAGGACGGCCCCCGAGGAGTGAGGTGGAGGACGGCCCCCGAGGAAGGAGGTGGAGGACGGCGCCCGAGGAGTGAGGTGGAGGACGGCCCCCGAGGAAGGAGGTGGAGGACGGCCCCCGAGGAAGGAGGTGGAGGACGGCCCCCGAGGAAGGAGGTGGAGGACGGCCCCCGAGGAGTGAGGTGGAGGACGGCCCCCGAGGAGTGAGGTGGAGGACGGCCCCCGAGGAGTGAGGTGGAGGACGGCCCCCGAGGAAGGAGGTGGAGGACGGCCCCCGAGGAAGGAGGTGGAGGACGGCCCCCGAGGAGTGAGGTGGAGGACGGCCCCCGAGGAGTGAGGTGGAGGACGGCCCCCGAGGAAGGAGGTGGAGGACGGCCCCCGAGGAAGGAGGTGGAGGACGGTCCCCGAGGAAGGAGGTGGAGGACGGCCCCCGAGGAGTGAGGTGGAGGACGGCCCCCGAGGAGTGAGGTGGAGGACGGCCCCCGAGGAAGGAGGTGGAGGACGGCCCCCGAGGAAGGAGGTGGAGGACGGCCCCCGAGGAAGGAGGTGGAGGACGGCCCCCGAGGAGTGAGGTGGAGGACGGCCCCCGAGGAAGGAGGTGGAGGATGGCCCCCGAGGAAGGAGGTGGAGGACGGCCCCCGAGGAAGGAGGTGGGAGGACGGTCCCCGAGGAAGGAGGTGGAGGACGGCCCCCGAGGAGTGAGGTGGAGGACGGCCCCCGATGAGTGAGGTGGAGGACGGCCCCCGATGAGTGAGGTGGAGGACGGCCCCCGAGGAAGGAGGTGGGAGGACAGTCCCTGACTTTTTCTTTGAGCCTCCGGCCCTCATCTCCCCGCTCGGCCTCCACTGTGCTCCCACAGGCCCAATGTCCTCACTACAGCCGGCCACCTCTTCAAAGCAGATCTGACCTGTTGCTCAGCTCACAACCTCCCTGGGCCACCCTCAGGTGCGGCCAGACCCCTCATGGCCTCTCCAGGCTTTAGACCACCTCTCCCCAGCGGACCTTCCCTCAGCTTCTCACCACCTGGCATGTCCTCCACCCTCCCCCGCCCCGCCCGCCCCGCCCCCTGCAGGCTCGACCTCAAAGGCCCTGCT